ATGTACTGTGGTTGCAATGGTTTGAACATGCACGTGATTGACCCAATAACCATCAATTTCATGCTGTTTTTAAGTACATCGTGGAAATAATCAGGATATTATGGCGCTTTAATATAATTTGTGTGTGGGTTACTTTGATTTGTGTTGGAAACAATATAGCCATCATATTCAAAACAACCCTTTCTATTTGTATGTTTGTTGTTTAACTCTGCCCTCGGCAGTATTCCAGCTATATGACGGCGGTCTGTAAATAATCTAGTCTGGACCTGACAATCCAGTGGTTAACATCGTGAGCATCGATCTACGCAATTGGGATACGATGACATGCATCAATCAAGTCAGAGAGCCTGACCACCCGATCCCGTTAGTCGCCTCTTACGACAAGCATAGTCGCCTCTTATGGCAAGCATGGGTTGCTGAAGACCTATTCTACCCCGGTTTTTCACGGATCCAACCCTTTCTTATTCAATGATTCCAGTATGCCTATCGCAGTGGTGTCGTTTTCCAGCTTGTTGGGATTTTAAGTCTTGGTAAACAGGAGTAGTTTGACCAGTTATTCTCATCCAAATAGAGTTCACAATCTCAACAACGACCTTGAACGTATCGAAACAGTTCATACAATCTCTCCCAAGCAACACAGACGAAGCGAGCCGACAGTCAATACACTGCAATGCCGAGGTTGTTGACATTTGATAGAATTAGCCATCGATTACCACTGGGGGATGCAGAGTCGGGCTTTGATGCTTTGACAAGCTGAGATGACCCTTCACTTCTAACCGCCCCCCCCCCCCCCCCCCCCCCCCCCCCCCAAACCTTCTGACCCCAGCGTCCTCCATGAAGACAGGATGGGGGGTCTGGAGAGAGGAGAGGCGTATCACTGCAATATGTACAGCCAGACACGAGTACCGAGTCGTATGAACTCCACAGGCCGAAGGTCTCAATAGTTCCTATTCGCCTGGAGATGTGATGTGCCCTGATTGAAGGTTCTACAGTCGCCTGAATATGGTAGCACGTGGTATCACATTGAAGTAATTAATTAGCATTGTGATGCTATGCATATGTATATAAACATAGATATACGCCCCTGGGAGATAAGGTATAAATAAATATTCTGGTATAAAGTACTTCAGGTTCAGGACGGATGGTGAGCCAAATAGATGTACGATATACGCTGGTCGAAATGCGTGGGGAACAACTTGTGAGTGAAATGTGTGTTCAAGGATTTGATGTTAAAACGTAAGTATAGTAGTAAATAGGAGAGAGAGAGAGAGAGAGAGAGGGAGAGAGAGAGAGAGACAGAGAGAGAGAGGGAGAGAGAGAGAGACAGAGAGAGAGGGAGAGAGAGAGAGAGAGAGAGAGAGGTGTTCTGATAATGAAGTAATATTGATGCCGAGTTGGGGATGTGATATGGGTGTGATGTACGTACATTAGCTGCATGGAGAATCTACGCTTGTATTATAACTGTGAGTCACACAGTCTGCATGACACAACGGAACAGGATATTGAAACATGGGTAGTAAGATATGTTCCTGTATTACTTATAGCAGGCTTTCGGGCCATGCTCCTCAGATATTCCACTAGATTATATCGGTTCAGAAACACCGTTAGATCATACCAGTTCGGGTATTCCGTTAGATCATACCAGTTCGGGTATTCCGTTAGATCATATCAGTTCGGGTATTCCGTTAGATCATACCAGTTCGGGTATTCCGTTAGATCATATCAGTTCGGGTATTCCGTTAGATAATGCCAGTTCGGGTATTCCGTTAGATCATACCAGTTCTGGTATACCCTTAGATCACGTCAGTCCAGATATTCCGGTAATAAAGATCAAATGCTCTGTTGGATCAGATAAGATATTGCATTTGATCAGATGAGATCAGACATCCCGTTCGAGTACATCATTTCAAATATTGCGTTAGATCATACCAGTTCAGGAATTTCGTTAGATCAGATCAGTTCAGATGTGCGTGAGAGTACATCATTTCAAATATTGCGTTAGATCATACCAGTTCAGGAATTTCGTTAGATCAGATCAGTTCAGGAGTTCCGTTGGATCAGATTAGTTCAGATATTCCGTTTGTTCAAATCATTTCATTAGATCAGATATTCCATTAAATAAGGTCAGTGCGCATGAGGTATTCCGTGAAATTAGGTCAGCTCAGATATTCATTTAGGTCGGATGAGTTCAGATGTTCTCTTAGATCAGATCATTCCGGTTCAGATGTTCTCTTAGATCAGATCAGATATTCCGTTTGATAAAGCCAGTCCTCGTCAGACGTTACATTAGATCAGCTCAGATATTCATTAAGATCAATCAGTCGATATAGTCCGTTAGTGGTTCTTGTGGTACAGACACGTATGAACATAAAGTAGTCTCGTGCATATACGATATAAACTACATGCATAAAACTTGCATATAAGAATAGCATCTACTATGAGAATTATTTCATTTTCTCCCTGTGAAAATCTGCTAGTCCTGCTGTATGTTTACTGGTTAATGCGAGAAGATTGGCCCACTGCCCGCGGCACTGTGCATTGCTGTACTTTGCTACTTGCCAATGTTCTCTTTAATCATCCTTACAAAACGATGACCTCCCCAGGCGAATGACTTCCTTGACGAGACGGAGAATCGAACGTTCAAAATCTGAAGCACGATATTACTAAGCAAGTATAGAATCAGATTACATCGTGTCTTGAAAGCGGATCTCATTTCGATATGACCCTGTCACGGCCCTTGCGGGGTTCATCCACTCTCAGTTTGAGGGTAACAGTTGTTTGTGAATGAAATTAATACAAGGGTTATTGACATCCAAATCAAATGAATATTTTTGGACGTGAATGAGCTCGATATTCGAGAACACCTAAATTACACAGACGAAACAAGCCAAATTGAGCCAGAAATATCTCCAAAGTCAATCAGGGACAAATATCTTCTCACATATCGATCCGAAAGACAAATGCCCGAAAGAACGCTCGTGCTAAGTCGATTACCGTTCCTGGAAGCTGAAATTCCGCTGTCCTGTACATCGTGTCAAGGTATGCCGATTTGACGACTTTGGCAGACATTTGGGCTTTGCTTGAAAACGGGTGATAATTCCATAGAAGTCACTTCATGTCGCCGACTATTGGTACGAATCTCGTCGCCGCAGCACGTAGAAAGAAGCATAGCGCTTGGTTATCGATCGAGAAACGCTAAACCGTTCGTTTTGAGTTTATTTCCATGAAGAACTGTGACGTTCTGCCGCCATAACAAGCCTGCCTTCCGGTCTCCTCAGACGAGACAACAACATACCATTTACGCTAAGCTGGCGAGATTTGGCGAGATGAGGGGATTTGGTGAAAACTGAGCTGACTTGATTGTCTCGTCATTCTGTTGTTGGGTCCCTTCCGGAGTCGCGCCGTTTATTTGCTACAATTATATAAACAATTTGAAAGTAGCTGGGGTCTTCCGGGACGGTATAATAAGTTTATGGTATCTCCAGCTTGTACATTATTGTGATGCCTGATTAATATTGATTTCAATCAACATAAATTTTGCAATATTTTGGCAAATGTATGGATTTGTTTTCAAAACAATGTTGGATGAAAGGAATTGATATTGTTTTCGAAAATATTTTCACGTTAATTTGCGACTTTATAGTCATTATTAGAACGGGATACACGGGTGAACCTTGGTTTGTCAACATTATGCACCGTAGTGATCCGGGTTACCCTTGGTCGTCAGCAAACCCATGCTTGTCCGTGAAGGTCCGGGTTAGAATTGTTCTTCAGCAACCCATGCTTGTCCCCCTTGAAGGTCCGGGTTAGAATTGGTCTTCAGCAACCCATGCTTGTCCCCCGTGAAGGTCCGGGTTAGAATAAGTCTTCAGCAACCCATGCTTGTCCCCCGTGAAGATCCGGGTTAGAATTGGTCTTCAGCAACCCATGCTTGTCCATCGTGAAGATCCGGGTTAGAATTGATCTTCAGCAACCAATGCTTGTCCATCGTGAAGATCAGGGTTCGAATTGGTCTTCAGCAACTCATGCTTGTCCCCCGTGAAGGTCCGGGTTCGAATTGGTCTTCAGCAACCCATGCATGTCCCCCGTGAAGGTCCGGGTTAGAATTGGTCTTCAGCAACTCATGCTTGTCCCCCGTGAAGGTCAGGGTTAGAATTGGTCTTCAGCAAACTCATGCCTGTCGTAAAAGGGATCGGGTGGGTAAGCTCGCTGACCTGATGTATGCATGTCATCGTATCCCAATTGTAGATCATTGATCATGATGTCAATCACTGGATTGTCTGGCCCAGACGCATATTTTTACAGACCGCAGTTATGTAACTGAACTATTTCTGAGTGCGGCGTAAACAACAAACAAACAAACAAACCCCTAGAGTAGTTCAAGCACGGTGGCCCAGTCGCTGTGCAGAGTTGCGTCCCTTCGTCGTGCCAGAAATGGGAGCGTGGGTTCGAATCCCAGTTCGCACTAATTATGTTTCCGTTTCTGCTCGGCACATGTGCTCGAGGGGTTAACCAAATATGTTAGCGTCTGTGACCTGCCTCACTTCGGGTTTCCTTCCTGCGTCAAGTTGACACGGAGCGATATAACGAAAATGCTATAATTGAAATCGACGTTAAGGCAAACTTACCCACGTCATCAAAGTACCAAGCATCTAATGCATTGTGCCATCTTGGCAACTTGTGTTTGCCGTTACGTCAATCAAATTACACCACGTTGTTTATATCATACCAAAATAATTAAAAAAATGGACTTCAGAAATTGGTTTCCTAGTGACGGGAAGGCGCGGGTCGGGTGTAGCAGGATGTTTACTCTGGAATAGGCTAGGAACGTTATGTGATTAAATTGATGAAGTGGAAAAAGTTGACAGCAGTGTTTACACACAGGGACCTGTGTACTGAGTCGACTGAACCTGCCTTTCTTATCAGCAACAATTGACGTAATGTGCCAAGGCAATTTACGATATCTCTTGTAAACAAATGAATTGTCCTTTTTTTTACAGATCTCCGCAGGAAAGTGGTGAATTAGCAAAGGAAACATGATGGGATGTTACACAAAGCTCGGACTAGCCACTATTAACGTTACCGTGCCCGTATCTCTAGGGACTTGATAGCCTTTGCGATATGATGGATTCGTCCAACCGAAACAGTGGTCACGATGATGAATGGAGCAATGCCTTGAAACTGACCGCTCGAGATGATGGAAAGAAGAAAGGCAAACAATCTATACCGGACCTACCTGAGTTCAACCAATCGAAAGCGTTGGCTGACGATGACGTCAGGTGTGGTTTCGGAAGCTACCGTCCTGATTGGCTGCAAGTCTTCAATAACCCAAAGTGCCTGCTTTTCTTCTTGTGTGCTTACTGTATGATCCTAGGTAAGTAGCTTCTTGTCCTTATCACTTTGGCGATTAAACAGGAGTGTCCAACATGGCTGGGTTTTAAACATGGTAGGTGAGAGTGCTACATCCTCCGCAGAATCCCGAATGCCAAGTAATTTTTCACATCTCAATGCTCATCCCTGAATCCTGCATACTACTTAACACAAATCTCAAAAGCATTGGGTGCGATTTGATTTTAGTTACTAAAAATAACGTATATAACGATGTCCTTTGTCAAAAAGGACATTTTTATTTACGTCCCGCATACTACACTGCCGAGTCCTGAATACCCTTGCCAGCCTCGTGGATGGCGCGGGTGGCCCAGTCGTCTGAGATGCCACAATTCGCCTTGTTGCGTGCACTTACCTATGATCACTGATTCGAATTCTAGATTCGATTTGATTGTTTCTAGATGTGTCAAACCCCATACCCATGCTCGTTGGTTTCACCAAAGTGAAAAACGTCTAAGACGTGCATCACACTCGGCTTCCCTCACACATTAGGCTGACTCGCCGTGATGTGACTGAAATATTGTTCAAGGCGGCGTTAAAGAAAACATGCTTACACCCTCAAACATAATACATGACACGTGATTGTATTTAGACGTTTTATTCTGTTTCCAAAACATTGCTTCCATTGCTTGAAATGTATTTGTGGCTTTTTGAAAGACAAGAGGTCAAGGATAGACGAAGGCACAGTAAAACCTGTCCATTCGAAATGAAGCTGCTTAGTTATCCGCAGTTCAAGACAAGTGGAGGGTCGTTATTTGAAGCGTAGTAAATTCCCCACAATGTCAGTCAGACGACCGGACTGGCAACTTTGCAAAGTTACCAGACCAGATAGAATGTTGCCAGTCCAGAATGCTCTGGACTAACGAACAAAACTAACTAAAGGGTGAACATAAGAAGAGCACTGTTTGCTGTTAGTTCTCAGAAAATAACAATTATCTGGTGGATTATCAACTTAGTAACTTGAAATCATTGAAATATTATTCATCAATAATGTTTTTTATCGTTTACAGTAAATTTACCTTTTACATTGAATTAAAACTAGAATGCTTAGGTAATAAAGGGAAAACAATTAAGCCCGACCTTCGGGCGTGCAACGTTTTAAAACTGACCGTCCGGCAGCAAAATAGACCGCCTCGGACTATCGAGCAGGCTGGTCTTTTAAACACTGTTATTAAACACCTGTTAAACAGCCGCTTGTAGCGTTATGCCAGCAATATTAAGGATGTGTCACGAAAATGCGCTGCACACATTGTACCCATGTGGGAAATCGAGCCCGACCTTCGACGTCACGAGCGAACACTTTAACCATTAGGCTACCCGCAGATTAAGGTTATGCCTAGACCAGTAACATTGTCTTGAACCATATCTCGAATAATGTCGTTCACTGGCAGGTTTAAATGAGATTTTCCCAACTCTTGACCCGTCTCTGTGGTTATGCCTGGATGGTGTAAGTCGACTCCAACGCCACTGGATACAATCGTTGTTAGTTCCCCAAAGTCGTAGTACCCCCTTTCGCCTTTGCCTTCAGACTTATCTCCCTTGCCTATGCAAAACTGGCGCCCTGACTGTGATGCGGAAAGGGTGTCAGACTGTGTCAGAATTGAGGAGGCGTAGTCTTGCTTTGGCCACCGAATTAGAAGATTTACCTTAGAAGATTATCTCGAAGGTTATGTCTGGTGTATCATGTATCATGTTCCTCGCCTAATGATAACAGTAGATCGATAAAACAGGCTGACTTCAAATAGACGATATTTTGCTGACTGTGGCGTTTCCGTCTGTCATAACACGAGGGATTCCCAACCTTATCTATGCATAGCACTTGTAGCGGCCGTTCACAAACATATTGCACTTAACATACTTAAAAGGCGATTATGTTTACGATGTATCATTGTTGATGAGAAGTGACAAGTGTGTCATTTGAACTGTTTGTTTATTGCGTAATGTCAGAGCCAGCAATATTCTAGCTATTAATAATTATTTAAGCTGTCTGTAAATAATCAAGCCTGGACCAGATCGTCCTGTAAATGATATTATGCGCCGCGTGTCCCGCGCCACAATGTCACGCAATCAACCAAGTAACCGAGTCCCAGCACTCGATCCATTTATCCGCCTCTTAGACAAGCAAGGCGGGTGTCTCATTTCGTAAATATGATTGAATAGAGGAATTGAACAAGACCCGTGAAGATCCGGGGTAGAATAGGTCTGCTTGTCGTAAATGGCGACTATGCCTCTCGTTAGAGGCGACTAACGGGATCGGGTGGTCAGGCTCGCTGACTGGGTTGATGCATGTCATTGTATCCCAATTGCTGATGTTGTCAGTCACTGGATTGTCTGGTCCAGACTCGATTATATACAGAGCGCCGTCATATAGCTGGAATATTGCTGAGTACGGCGTTAAACAACAAACAAACAAACAAAATTTGTGAACAATGTACCTTTGAAGGTCGATTGGTAATCAGGAGCTTACTAGGCAAGAGTTCGTGAACAGTCCGTTAATTTACAATGACAAATCTAGAAAGTACATTTTGAACATTTTGGTCTAATACGAGTATCGACACTTATCTTATCTCGAATAACGGTTTGCTCGATGCATTTTCTATGACCCCTACGATTTCGTGTTCATGAAGTTTCATAGTATATATGTCGACAGATCCGACGTTAAAGAATAAACACGAACAAACACAAAATCATACCACCCGATAACCATTCGGCTTTTCCGACACCTTAAATATATGTCACATGTCAAAAATAGTAACGACAGTCTACAAAAAGAATGCATACGAAATTCGCTGATTTAGCGGAAATAAATCGGTCAGCTGGCTCACTGTGACCCAAGCTGCCCACAATAACTCAGTAGGTGTGTGTTACTTTTACAGCCGTAATCTTCTACTGCACGTTGGATTGTGGGAGTCTTTGATTCATATGCCAGAATCTGTGGAACCAACGGAACCAATTACCAGATTGATGTCGGTGACTTGGCCTCGCCGGTCATTACCGCCCACCAGCTTCTGCAACACAAGCTCTCTATCAGCATGACAAAGGGTCTCAAAACGAATGTTGATATTTGAGTACGGCGTTATTAAAGAAGGTGTATTGCGAGGTATATTATTTCCCTCCCCGGTGCGTTGAATAGTGTGCTTATGAATTATTACTGAGGCGAAATTCGTTATTGAGGCTAGTAGGTTGCATAAATGCAATAATGGTTGTTAGGCATGTTGATCTACGCGTCAATTAAGTGTCATTAATACATGCATAAACCGACACGCCTTGGCACTATGAATCGATCGTGTCCCGATTAAATGCTGACACGATTCCTTAGTTTTGGACACAATATGATAATTATGGAATGATTTAAGCAATTCCTTTTAAGATCTGATTCAACTGAATCAATAACATTATTTCATTTGGATTATCTTTTAATTATTATCCCTTTATTTCTTTATTCTTATGAGTATTTATGAAGAACTGGAAAGATGTGCACTGAATACTCTCACCCAGTGTGTATAGTGAGTGAGTTGGGTTTGCCGGTTTGAACAGTATGCTATTTATATCACGGCATATCAGCCTAATGTGGGAGGAAATCCCGATGTGATGCAGGTCACTGGCGTTTACCACGTTGGTGAAACCCAATATCACGGGAATGGTGCTGAAAACCTGGGTACGTAATCGGGGCGAATTGGGATTCGAACCAACGAACATAGGTTTCTGGCGTTCCCAAGAGACGTAACTCTGTACAGCGTATTGCGACCGCCCGTGTCCCCTACATGTTTGTTTCTTGTTTAACGCCGCACTCAGCAATATTCCAGATTTATGACGGCGGTCTGTAAATAATCGAGTCTGGACCAGACAATCCAGTGATTGATATCATGAGCATCGATACACGCAATTGAAACCTATTCTAACCTGGATCTACAAGGGTACACTTACATATAACAAAACCACAGTATACAGGAACAGGAACAGGAACAAAAGCATTAGTTGTATTCAGTACCCGACATGATTGCCTGGGAGATGAAACGGCAAGTGTGACCTCGCAGACAGACAGAAATGACACTCACACACAGTTGTTTTTATAACAACGGTTTACGAAAAACAGTGTGATGAGAATAATATGTGTTGACAATTCAACCGATTTGACGAAAACTTTTAATTGAGCTAAGCGAATGTGAGGTCACGTGACAACACGGCACAATCAGTCGAATTGATCATGGACGGCTCTTTGATCTCGCCGACAAGAATTATGGAATTTATAATCATGTATTTACCTTCCACTCAAAATATGCTTTCTGTTGCAAAACGTTGAAATGACATACGTTGCAATTTGATACTGGTAAGGGCTTGTCAAAAGCTCTAAGCCTGACTAGCTTTCAACTATGGGCCATTACAAAGTGAACTATGTAGTACATTGTTTGAGTAGTTCATTGCAAGTGTATGTAGTCTGTTGCGGCCGTTTGAATATTACTGACAGCCAGTTGAACGTGACAGGGGTCCAAATGGACACAGAAATGGAAAAGAACGATCGAGTTCCCAGCAGGCATCAAGTTTTTGACTTAAGAGAAAAGTACTACCCAAGAATGTCGCGACCGCATGTCAGTATGGGGATATGTGCCCTTGCTATTCCACTGTTGGTCAGCTATGTTTAAGGCTGGGAGAACAAGCCTTGATGATGACCCGAGGTTTGGACATCCCTCAACTTGAAGATTCAATCAAGGAGAAAGAAAAAGTTATACTGTTGTTGTTGTTGTTTTTTTACCAGCCCTCGTATAGTTAAGCATGTCGACATCCATGGTGACGGAGAATCATCCATCTTCCCTACCCAGGGAACCAGGATGTCGGACAATCGATAATGTGCATGGTTGGTTTTCGTACTACGCGTGAAGAGGCTTGGAGTCGTTCTCATTCTTGGCAAGCGTTGTAAAGCCAATTCGTAGTGCGCATGCATTCTAGATAACCAGTCGAGGAAATCCAAAACACGACGTCTTCATCGTCTACTACACTTTGTCTCATTTCAGTGTTATGAAGATTTAGCAATGTAGGTCGGGTGTTGATCCCGACACGCCATCTACCCTGGTTCGATTCCATGTACGTACATTACTCTGATGCATTTATCGGACACCGTCTAATAACAATCTACCTATTTCTGAATTGAAACAAGAGAGTACAACAGCTGACAATGGTGGAATATATACTTATGGAAAACACTTAGTTTTAACACGGACTTGTATGACCGTAACATATAAGTCCGTGGTTTTAGACGCTGTAACACGATTTGCTATCATAGGTTCCCAGCCTTGTCTAACAAATACGCGTTGGAAACAATGCACACAAGCACATGACAACGTTTGATTCCAACAAGTGCTGAAATTGTATGCGCGCTATTTCGAATGCACTGAGAGTAACGCTATATCCTTTCTTGTTCCCTTATTCGTTTCTCTCAGTATATTTCAACATAACACCATGCATATCTGCCCCAGTTTGGAACCAGCATGTGTGATAAGGAGACGATAAACATTTGCGACCTGTAGCCCGCTCAGATGTGTTTATGACGTGCGTTGTGTTGATATGGAAATGCCAGTGTCAGAAGTTAAAAGGATTCGAGCGAATTCAATGTGCTATCTACCACTGAAACAACCCGTATCATATTTCAGAAGCATATTGTCATACTCCCACTGACTCGTGTATTTGTTGTCTAACTTCGTGTCTATTGCGTTATGCATAATCATACTATCACTCATCCTGAAATTTCAAACGTGCATAGAGTGGTACCTAATATCTAACATCCACTCATTTTACTCGAATTTCAACATCTGATAGGTCGATTAATCTTAATCAGTCATGATCGCGAATGTAAACAAAATTAAAATATGATCAAAAATTACATATTTGCAGTTCGTACTGTGTAATGCCACTCCGCTAATGGCTTACTTGAAATAGGTAACATTTCCCGGTCCTTTTTATCTGAAATGGGGGTCAAGGCCACAATGACAGCTGAATGGGAATAGTAGGAAATTTGCTGATTTGTGCTGTTACTGTCGCATCAATCCGAATGGATAACGTACATACACATGGAGGGGTGGTTACCGCCAAGGACCCTCCCTAACTGAATGTGTACGAGGTTTCATCGTCGACAGGATCTTCTCTCACGTTCATGACCACATGTTCCTCTCGTCCCTGCATTGTCCCAAGGGGTGGTGGTGGCCGCCTTATGTAGTTTGTTTGTTGTCTAATGCCTTCTCAGCAATATGTCACCTATCCTGTATGACTGCGGTCTGTAAATAATCGAATCTCAACAAGACAACCCAGTAACTGACATCATGGGCATCTACGTAATTGGGATACGATGACATGCATCAACCAAGTGAGAATTTATTGAAAGAAAAACTATTGATAATATAAAAATAACCTTTTTCACCCGAATTAATGTTAAAATTATCTCGCCAAGTCTCGGAACTCTCAAAACGAATTCGCTCTCGACAGATCTCTAGATAATTTGCTCCCAGCTCGTTGTTTATTTTCTAAACATAGTAATGTTTCCGAGCAAAGGTCGAGGCTTTGAAATGAACATTCGCGAGTCAGTCACGCAAATACACACTTGATCATGATCAGTAATTTCGATGAAACAGACAACATAATTTGAATAACAACAAAATCCAGCTGCTGCATTGGTATATAACCTGTGGTTATAACACAGCTGTTCATTAAACGTGTCAATGAATTAAAACTGCTTTAATAAAATATATGTATTATGCATGGATTTTAATATCGATATCTGCCCGTAGTCGTGGATGACGGTTACCCTTGAGTTGTCTATTCCCGTTACCCGATATAATATAAAATTATGCTACTTTCATACAAATTCTCTCCGTGCTCATGTGGCCGAAGACTTCACACATGGGAAATTTCTACAATATCGTGACATTTATGAATATTCATATTTACCACGTTAACACGTCCTCCTAAATTTGATTGATTAGGGTAATGGGATAAATGACCTAAATTCATTGAAGTACACTCAAGTCGTACATATCACTGTCTGACTGACACGCTTGCTATGTACATCTCACTGTCTGATTGACATGTTGGCAATATACAACGTCGCTGATTGACATATGTGTATCACTGATAGCGGCAGTATAGTACCAGAAGACCCTTTCCCGCAAAGCGATGTTAGCGATAGGGCAGTCTCAAATCTCAAAATGGATGCAATGAACATGGCTATTGAAACAGTTATGACACGTCTACATGCGAAACGTGTCTCCAGTTTGTTTACATAAGCAATTGAGAAGGTTACGCATGCGTAATGAGACACATTTTTTCCACACTTTTTGGCAGCCATCAGTTTGGTATAAAAAAATACGCAAAAACACAAATCAAGAGTGGGACGGGTTTCTTCGCAATCACCGCTGGGGAGATATTAGTTTGCGGTGTTTTAAAGGTCTGTTGAAATGTCGTAATTTGAATATCTGGAGGGATTTCAAAGTAGTGTCGGATTAGGTACATGTAAATGAAAATATGTATTTTCTTCTTTACAGGGTTTGTCGTGAACGGAATTAACAATGTCAACACGACGTCTATTGAACGTCGGTTCAACCTACCCAGCGCCAAAGTCGGCCTCATCTCCAGCGCTTACGACATCGCCGCAGGAATCCTGGGGGTGTTCGTCAGCTACTACGCGTCTGGGAGGAACAAGGCTCGATGGGTGGCGGGGGCAGGGGTCATCATGGCCATGGGGTCGCTCGTCATGTCCCTACCGCACTTCACCACCGGCGCGTACGAACTGGGCGAACTAGATCAAAGCTTCTGTGAACACAATGGTATAACGGGCGTCTGATTGCTGTTGATATTTCTGTTCTTTCTGAAACATTCCACCCCCCTAGGGACATGGGCAATGCGCATCACAGCATGTACATATTTGCAACAGAGAGGGGACAGTAGGGGAACGACCATGTGCTATTCTGAGGGGGGCCGGGGATTTTTTCTGGAGAATAGATATTTATTCAGTTACAGCTGCAAAAGCAGATATATGTTTTAATAAAATCATGAGCATTACTATATTTTTTTAAAGAAAAACTCATTGCAGCAAATGTAATTTTTGTGGCAGACAAGTTCATTTTTCAGCAGTCTGAAGCTTAATCATTTTTGTGAAGAATTTTCTGGGGCAATTTATTTTTTTCGAGTAAAAAAGATGGAATGAAATGTTTTTCGGCGTTTATGAAAACTGACGATATTGACGATATTGTAACTTCGCTCAATGTCACCAAGGCAGGATCAGTTATCTCCCTTTCCGGGTTATGTTTTAACCGAAAATAACTTTCATTTACATCATTCGAGCTTGAAATGCCAAATATGTAAACAAATTCATAGCCTCAGTGGCTCAAATATATATCTGCTGGCTAAAAGTATGACTGAACAATACGGCAACTATTAACCTTTTGCTGCAGGAACCTCGAACACCACAACCTGCGCTCAGGACACCGAGACCTACCTATCCAACTACCTCTATGTGTTCATCCTGGGTCAGATGCTGCACGGCGTGGGGGGGACCACCGTGTACACAGTGGGCGTGGCACTCCTTGACGACAGTCTCCCGTCCCAGTCTACTCCACTGTATTTAGGTAAGTTATTTGTGACGTCACACACTTGCATGCATCTCTTGGAAGGAGTTAAACTATCGGTCATATCAGTCTAATGAAAACTGTTTGCAGTCTTCATTTGGTGGCTTTGCTGGCATCCGTGTTTGGCGTCCGGCGACGGCGTCTGGCGTTGATCAGCGGCTCTTATTTGCGTCCGTCGTTCATCACCTTCCTTTATCAACTGACCATTTGAGTATTCCTTGTATGGCGTTAGTCTCTGATGAATGGATGCCTAGGATATCTGTTGTAAGGCATCCGTCGTTGATCAGTGGATGGGGCGTCACGGGTGGCCCAGTCGTCTGAGGCGCCGCGATTCGCTGTGCAAAGGTTGCGTCCCTTGGGCACGCCAGAAACCTATGATTGTGGGTTCGAATCCCGGTTCACCCCGATTATGTTTCTAGGTTTGTCAGCACCATACCCATGTTCGTGTGTTTCACCGAAGTGGTAAACGTCTGAGACCTGCATCACTTGGGGCTTTCCTCCCACATTATGCTGACACGCCGTGCTATAACTGGAATAGTGTCAAAAGCGGCGTTAAACCCAACTCACTCACTCACTGATCAGTTGATGTTCTGAGTATCCATTGTGTGACGCCCGGCGTGGATCAACGGATCATCTGTGTATCCGTTGAATGACGTCCGGCATAGATCTGGGTGATGCTAAGTAAATCATATATTAATTTGTATCATATTTTCTTCTTTGCTCTGTGCACTGCGTCCAAGTCTAGTGGATAGAGCGTCTGCCCTGAGTGGAAAGTGAGATGGTGAAAGGGCGTTTGACGTCGCTTCCCAAGATATTACACTTAGTGATATGCCTGCCTGCGTGCGTGCGTGTGTGTGTGTGTGTGTGTGTGTGTGTGCCGATTTTATAGTGCTAGCCCATTGAGATACCATGTCGCAGTTTAACATAAATACCCCACTCAGACACTGTATACTGACTCCAAGCCGACCAGTCCTTGTTTTATCCCCTTAATGGCAGGGTAACTACACGTACCATCTTTTAACGTCTTTTGGTATGACGCGGACGGGAATCAACCCCAGGACCTTTCGCTCTCCGGGTGGACGATCTACCACTAGACCACGGAGGCGGTCCCGGAGCGGAGGACGTGTTTGAATGACCTGACCGTGTCAAACAAAAACAAAAAAAACGTTAAAAGAACTTGTTATCTTGCCTGACGTTTGGCATTCAGAAGATGACACAAAGGACTGGTCTGCTCAGAAACATTGTTATTGTGTCTGAGAGGGTACACATCTTAAACGTGCATGCACGAAGCTACATATGTGGAATAATCTTAAAAATTGAAGACGACGACGTTAAACCCCATTTCACAGCACCTGGCCCATGTTCTGAAACAAGTTCCCATATACTTGACACACAATCTTACCACACAGGTATTCTGTATGGATGCTCAGTACTGGGCCCTGGGCTCGGCTTCGTCATAGGCGGGCAGTTCCTAAGCTACTACGTCGACTTCGACACAGTCAACACCTCAAGGTCAGTACGCACAGCAATACGTTTATACACCAACTCTCATCACAACCACCATTCTATGACCTATGCCTGCACTGTTAATACAATGACCAATCCTCAGTGAATTCCGTGTTTGTGTGCAGCCTGAATATCACAACAGATGACCCCAGATGGGTCGGGGCCTGGTGGTTCACGTTCCTCGTCTGCGCCATCTTGAATCTGGTCGTGTCCTTACCCTTGTTCGGCTATGGAAAAGAACTGCCTTGTGAGTCTACCCTCCTTGCATGCCACTGTTTTTTAACTCGTATAAACAGTATGCTCTTTACAAATCCATGCGAATATTATTACGAAATACGAAGTTTAATCAGTTAAATGTTCTAACATCTACATTCTCAACATTACGACGTAACGTTTGTTCCGTAAAGAACAGTTATAAATGAGTTATGCTGGACTTATCAAGCTGATATAATTAAGCACATTCAAAGCCTTAATTTGCCTTAGTTTAATGTCAACCCAACCTTTCTAACTGTGAAATGCAAGGGCAGACAACTCTGATATAATTATGATCTTGGTTAACATTGACCTTCGTCCTTGATCTTCCAGCCGCCCGATACGTGAGTGCCACACGGAGGTCCCAGGCCCATACCTCGTCCAGCCACACTGCAGCCAGGGTCGGGGAGAAGGGGTCACTCACTGACCTCCTCCGCGTGCTCTACACCCTCTTGATGAATCCCGTGTTCTGCTTCATGACGCTCAGTATGCTAATGGAGGGCCTCGTGATAGCAGGCAGCGCCACCTTCCTGCCAAAGTTTATAGAGAATGAATACAAAATATCAGCTTCACTCGCTGCCATGTTAACAGGTACAGACCAAAGCAGGCATAGCTTGCCACCAGATAAGAATTATGTAATAATATTACCTTTTCAAAGGTCTTCCAACTTTCCAAATATCTTCGACCTGTCGTTTCTTTAAAGGAGAACATGTATACACATATTGCATTGATTTTACGTTGGGGAGGGTTGCGCATATCAATCACCGGATTGTCTGGTTTGTTTGTTGTATGACGCCCAAATAAGCATTACTCGAACTATATGACGGCGATCTGTAAATAATCGATTCTGGACCAGACAATCCAGTGACTGATATCATGAGCATCGATCCACGCAATTGGGATACGATGACATGCATCAACTAAGTCAGCGAGCCTGACCACCCGATCCCGTTAGTCGCCTGTTACGACACTCATAGTCGCCTCTTAAGACAAACATGAGTTGCTGAAGACCTGTTCTAACCCGGGTCTTCACGGGATTGTCTGGTCCAGAGACAGTTATTTACAGGCCGCTGTCATAGACTTGGGAATGTTGTGAATATGACACTAACAACAAAAGGCGCCGCCATTCGCTGTGCAGAGTTGCGTCCCTTGGGCACGCCAGAAACCTATGATTGTGGGTTCGAATCCCAGTTCGCCCCGATTACGTTTCTAGGTTTGTCAGCAGCATACCCGTGCTCGTTGGTTTCACCGAAGTGCTAAACGTCTGAGACCTGCATCACTTCGGGCTTTCCTCCCACATTAAGCTGACACGCTGTGATATAACTGGAATACTGTTACAATCGGCGTTTAACCCAACTCACTCACTCACTAACAACAAAAGAAACATTATGTATCGTACCTCTATCTTCTTGTTGTCCAGGTATAGCAGTTGTGCCCAGTGCCGCCGGTGGTCAGTTTGTGGGGGGCATCATAACCCGGAAGTTGAAGCTGGACATCAGAGGGGCCATGAAGGTCTGCATTGTCGGAGTGTTCGGGGCCCTGGTGTCCAGCTCCGTCTTATGGCTCAAATGTGATAAAGAAATTATTTCCGGCATAGACAGAGCGTACGAAGGGTAAGTGTCCTAGTGCCCAAGGAAAGGTTCAATGTAGTCTGTCTTACAGACCCTGATACAAATATATATCAAATACAGCCCATGCAAGTCTATAATGTTTGGCAAGTCTAGATCACTGCAGTATCAGGAATGTATCATGAGAGTCACTGGGTTCCTTTCTATTATATTTTTATTAAGATAACTGAACAACTGTTTTTTTATGTACGATGTGTTCATTTCAGAGACTAGATTTTAGTCTAGGTTCAATGGAACAAGCTTAGAGTCGATCATATAGGTTAAGTTGTATGGCTAAGCAGAGTATGAGTTTCAGAGACCTCATGATAGTGTAGTCTCCATATTTATAGGGCTTACTTATACTAATCATAACAGTCCGCTTGTAGAGCGCATAACTCCATACGCATTATGTGCTAGAAGCGCTGCATATATTTACCATGGTCATTGGATCAGTGTGCACTCGATTTTACATTCTCATCTCCCCGGGGAGTATACAACCCAAGCTGCTTGTGAGGCGCTAGGAGGTGACCAGGCATACTTACTTGCGATGGGCCCACCAAATGTGCTACATGTGCCTCAGTGTGACCAGAAGCCAAACGCTAGAAACTTTCAGGAGCCAAGCTGACGAACTGGAGCACGATTACAGTTCATGAGAACCAATAGCAGAAGTAGCCATGTATGGATTTACTCTAGCAAGAAAATTTACTGTCGCTGTATATTTGAGTATATTATGTCAGTTGATGTTTTAACAAAGCCTTACTTTTTTATGAGAACCTAAGTTATATAGACATAGTGTAGACTCCTCACAATAGTAGACAGATGACTAGATCGTTCGTATTTGTCCTGTCCGAGGTTGGTTTTTGCAATGAGACGCGTGGAGAAGTACTTTGATTTGACCTACACACAGCGGGAAAGGTACACGAAGCTCTTATTGTTATCTTCAACCACAATTCTCTTTGTGTACATCTCCCCCTTGTCCACCAGGTTCAACCACACCCCCTACACAGTAGAGCTGACTGTCGGATGTAACGCCCACTGCCGCTGCAGCACTGACGTCTTCGAGCCGGTGTGCGACCCCACGGGGAATGTGTATTTTACGCCGTGTCACGCCGGCTGTTCAAAAGACCTGGGGAATGGGGTGAGGCTGCTAAGATGAAATGTGATATGGAACCTACGTAACCGCCAACAGCCAATTCTGTAATAAAAGAGTAGAATGAATCGATTGAAGGATGAGCAAGATTACTGAATGTTATAGTCACATTCTGCATAAATATACACTACATAGGAAGGTGACGACACCAATATTAAGATTAATTTCAATTGTAAACTACGGTTATAACGAACACGCTTATATCCAATTGACGGATATAACGAACTTACTTTTTCCCCCTTAAAATTTGCTGTTGTTATGCTGTATATATGCCTATAACGAACTACAGTTATAACGAACTAAAATTAGTGGTCCCTTTGAGTTCGTTATAACCGTAGTTTACTGTAATGAGTTTACACTTTCTTCAAAAGACTTCTTCTTCTACATGGATTATTAGTCTACTAACTGATCGCAGATAAGATATCTGTCGGAGAAGTGTTTAGAAGAGGTTGACTGGGTGACTGTGTTGTCGCCAAGAGTGATTCATGGCTTTGTGTTTGTCCTCGCAGAACTACAGCGGCTGCGCCTGCGTGAAGAGCCCGACGTTCGCCAATTCCAGCGTCGAGGTGACGAGTAAGGGCTGCAGGGAATCGTGCTCCCTCCTATACGTCTTCCTCTCTCTCATGTTCGTCCTCATCTTCTTCGTCTTCATCCCTGTGGCGCCGGGGGACTCAGTGCAGCTCAGGTAAATACAAGCCACAATACCCTTCCCATGTTCCTAACAAAATCTCTGCTGAAAGGAAAGTCGATTGTATGACTCGACATCATGAACACGTGTTTAGGAATCACTATCAAATATTGATGATACGAGGTATTCGCGAGAGTTTCCTATCCTTCTGGTGGCATTCGTCACAAACACATACAAAGACCAGTCAACTGTTCACTAGAAAAAAAACAACATGGGAATTTATGCTATAAGTCAAAATAAGGTAGCCCATGTCAATGAAGGTATAGCCTAACATACTCACTGACTTACTCACTCCGTATAGAAGATAATTTTTGACCTTCGTTCTTTATTGGGGGGAACTTTGTGGGTAAAGCTTTCGCTCGCCAATCTTTCGTGGTTTGATGACACTCGTTGGAGTAATGTGTAAAGTTGGTCCATATGACTTGACTGTAGCGAAAAGCAGCATTAAACCCCACTGATTTATCATCATACTCATACTGTACATACTCACGTAATTATTATACTGTTGTGTGACATGCATGCTACTCAACATTTGCTAAGCACCACACCTTTGACTAGCGATGACTATTTTGGTCCTTAGCAAATGCTTGCCAAAATGTTCACTCACTCACTCTGTCCCGTCTCTCCAGATGTGTACCGGAAGAACACAAGACGTTTGCCCAGGGTGTGAAATTACTGATTGTGCGACTGCTTGGTAAGTGTGAGGGAGGTGGGGAAGTGACTCGGGGGGCCTGGAGTCTTGCATCTGATTAATGTTTACGAGAAAACGAGTTAATATTAAACTGCCGGGCTAACGAAAGTATACATCTATGTTTGGGTTTAATTATAAATAAAAATATGAAATGGTTATTTGATGGTGATATATATTACAAATGTGATATGTTTTCAGCCAAGCAACGTTTTGATAACGTTTTTAATGTTTTGGCCAGATCCAATTTTCAAGTGTATACTTTCATTTGACCAGGCGTTAGTGTATTGTAATGAATTATATGAGAACCTTTTACATACTGACTTGCAAATCTTCCTTCTCCCAAACGTCTGCTTAAGTGTGATCTCATTAAATGACGCGCTACGCATTGTGACTTTACACATATTTACCCATCTTTAGATCCATGCCAAATGCGCTGTAAGATAACGATATACTTGAGTTCGACTTTACGAGGTTTTACTGTATATGTATGTAGCTATCTATTCGTGGTTCTTTGTTTTTAAGTATGAAGCATTTCTTCATCACCAGGTACCGTTCCCGGTCCAATATTGTACGGCCGTTTGCTGGACGAATCGTGTGTTGTGTGGCGAGAGAAGTGCGACAGTCGCCTCTCCTGCTGGGTGTACGACAGTAACACCATGGCGAGGAACCTGTTCCTGTTGATGATAGGAACTTGTATATTTTCCGGGCTTTTCCTCGTTTTGGCGTTGCGTTTGTACAGACCCCCAGAAACCCCCGATGACTCGCCAAAGACGGAAGAAACTGTTGCCAAGGACGATGTTGAAGGTGATGTGAGAGAGCCAATCATAGCCAAGGGAGTGCGCTCTTAGTAATGGGAGGCAACTCTTACTGACTTTTGTAAACGGAGATTGCTCCTTGTGATGATGAAGGGAGATAACCGCTGTTGATTTTTCATATCATTGTTGGATATATACGAATGTATAATGTGTTTTCATTACTGGAATTTATCATGGTGTACAGACTTTTGTATTGTTTTGCCTGGCTTGTTTAGAATGCTGTTCTGTTATGAGATAAGTATGCAGATATGTATTGGAAAATCGTTGTATGATATCCTTGAGTGTTGAATGATGTTGTACAGTGTTTTGTTGAAATGTTGTGTCATCAGCCTTGAGATCTTGGACAGCTGTTGTCGTGTTACAACCTCGGTTATTGAAAGATCGATTTGACTGTGTCAGGGGTTAGTTAAACCTCAGCTGTTAAGAACTACTACAAAACGCGGTCTGTGCCAGACTATGGTAGTGTGGTTGAATGTGTTAAAGCGGCTGGGGAACAGTTGCTGTGAAGAGTAGAGGACAAGGTGTGACAAGGTGCTCCTGAATGTATAACCAAAGCTGGCTGAAGTGTTTCAACTAGACCGAGGCTATGGGAATGGTATATGTGGGTCGACCGTTGAAACATTTCACCATAACCTCCACTTTGGGCATTATGTTCACCTCGACTATTGAAGCATCTGCATTATTGAAGCATCTCGCTATACTCTTGGCTTTGGAAATGAGATATATGGCTCGACTGTTGAAGCATTTTACACGAACCTCTATTGTTGGAGTTGATAGCTCAACTTCGGTTTTATAGTCACGTTATACATACGCGGGTCGGGGATGGAGCAATCTGAGCATTGATACAGAATGATCTTTTCTTATGTATGCAGTCTTCCATCAAGGTTTTTTGTATTGATCATCATGCAATGATGTGTGTGGTAATATTTTCAGACTGAGGAACGTGAGTAATAGAGATATTTTCCAAGAACCCTCATCTTCAGAAGCTGTTTTGCTAAGCGTTTCTACTTTGTGATACGATATTTTTAAACTCTGACACATATTTAATGAACATAAATTTATATGTAATTATAACTGTTTATTAATAAGGTCTTCCACACCTACCGGACGCAATATGATTGACCTCATTATTTCTTCAGCCAAATGCTTCCAATACTACACTTGCAATACGCAAACCTCATCGTTGCCATTTTATAATCCTCTGACAAATCTTATTTTGGGTAAGTATGATCTTGTGAGAGTGATACAATACAAATGAGCTCAAATCTACTTTTAAATTCATTTAAATCAAAAGAACTTCTTCTCGCACTGAATGAGGATTAGCATAAAATGCAAAAGCACTGGTTGAATTTGTTCGATGTTTTGCCACTTGATATACAACGGTACCTCGTTAACTCGAGATCGAGGAGATCGTCAAAAATGTATCCAGTTAGCCATAGTTCGAAACAAGCGGAGTGTCATGTTAGACCATATTGACAATAACCATTCGGCAAGGACCATAAGAATATATCGTCGTAAACAACATGTCGACGTCGTGTTAACGAAATTTCAGTTGTCAATATCAGAAGCACTGTAAAATTAAGAAGCACTATATGGTTCAAACTCCGTTGTTGTCGTTAGTAGACCTACCACAGTGAGATTCATGTCCGCTTGACGACAGGTAGCGTTTTCTTTTAATTTATTTGAAATGAATTCATCCCAATTATGTTTCTAGGTTTGTCAGCACCATACCCGCGCTCGTGGGTTTGATCTAAGTTGTAAACGCCTGAGACATGCATTACTTCGGGCTTTCCTCCCACATTAAGCTGACACACCGTGACATATATGGAATACTGTTCAAAGCGGCGTTGATACAACTCACTCACTCTCTATTTTTAATGAAGCATAGTCATCTAAACGTACACTGCCAAAGGTGTGACATATGTTGGTATTATTCCTTTGCCTACTTCACGCTATTTTGTAGGGGGCACGGGTGGCCCAGTCGTCTGAGGCGACGCAATTCGCTGTGCAGAGTTGCGTCCCTTCGACACGCCAGAAACCTATGATTGTGGGTTCGAATCCCGGTTCACCCCGATTATGTTCCTAGGTTTGTCAGCACCATTCCCGTGCTCGTGGGTTTCACCGAAGTGGTAAACGTCTGAGACTTGCATCACTTCGGGCTTTCCTCCCACATTAAGCTGACACGCCGTGATATAACTGGAATACTGTAAAAAGCGCCGTTAAACCCAACTCGCTCACTCACTCACGCTTTTTTGTAATGCTTACTTTTCACACCATCTACAATGCAATTAGGTCTCTAGAATGTCCCAGCGTGCACTTGTAGGGGTCTAACGCTGTTGTCCATGGTCAGGGCTGGGAAGTGGTAGCGCCCCTATTATGGATAACCTATTTACGAGAGCAAGCAGCACTGTGTAAGGGTGATTGGTTCAGATGCGTGGATGGCATTATCTGTTGTCACTGCCCATGTAAGGTCATATCCTATATAAATATATATCTATATATTATCGTTGTTTTTGTAACTTACTGTTACACGTTGTAAATGTGGTAACCGAGATTGTTAAAGAATGTGTTCATGTGTAAATATTGTTGATATTCTTCTATATCAGTTCTTGCCATATCAATGCAGGTTTGTTATGTTAAACGTTGGAGCTCTTTTTTAGAACGTTGGTAAGGTTGTACATAAAAAAACGTTTGTTATCTCAAAGTGTCTGTGAACGCATGTCGATTTGAACATATGTTATACCATGTGTCTTAGGATCGGAATAGCAGACACTTTGAGATACCAGATGTCGCGAGTTATATACTTGTTATGTTCATTGAGGCAGTCTCTATTCAAATACCTGAAACTACCTGTTTTATGCGGGTTGAGTTTGTTTTTAATTGTTTTTAAAATATATTTTGGAAACATTTTGACAATATAAATTGCAGCTTTATTTGTAATAGATTAGGGCAGAAACTTCCCGTTCACGGATAAGCAGTTCTTTTCAAGGCACTATTTCTTGCTTTTTAGTCATTTGTTTGATTATTACTGTAAACTGAGTTCGTGTCATTTACCTTTGAGAAATCTAGTACAACTAAATACGACCCTTCTGTTGTTTGGTTGAAAGGAAAAACATGACAATCCTACTAGATTTGTGGGCACAAATATGGTTGAAGATGGTTTACTGTTACACATTAACATAAACTAATCCTGTTGTGCAGCACATCTTGTAATATGTGGCAACTTTGTGAAAATGTACACTGCACAAGTAAATGTCGAAATAGTGCTATTTCATCGCATTCGTACATACAGGGCCGTGCCAAAATATGACGGAACCTTCATAAATCAGGGGATATTTTTGGGAACGAGGACATTTTTATTTTGGCAGAACATTGTGGTTGTTTTGTAGAAATATGAAGTGTTTGAGATATATATTTGTGTATAGTTTCTATGTGACTTTGACAGTGGATTAATGATATAAATGTTTATAGAAAGATATCAAAGTGGATATAATGATATCAATGTGCCTTGTATATCATATTCTTCTATGTTTAAATGACGCAATCAGATTCTTCCCATTTGTCTTAATGTGATGAGATATCGTGACTGTGTTTTGGGATGTATGGGCAATGTTGCAACGTTGTGGGGGGGGGGGGGGGGGGGGGGGGGAGGTCGCAATCAAGATCCAGGGGGACCCCCGTTAGTTAGGCTATCCGTATTTACAAGAACATTGTTAATAATAATATTACTTCTTCACACCTGTTGTCCCGAGTATGAAGGTATCTGGATTCACGAGGTTCCACTGAGTTCTGATACTAGTTGACCAATTACACCTTATTCTGATGGCTTGGCCTTGAACTGGTTCGCAGGCAGTGTAACTCCCGCTGATAATCGCGAAGTATTGTTTTGTTTGTTTGTTGTTTAACGCCGCACTCCGCAATATTCCTGCTATATTGCGGTCTGTAAATAATCGAGTGTTGACCAGACAATCCAGTGATTTACGCCGTGAGCCCCGATCTACGCAATTGGGATACGATGACCTGCATCAACCAAGTCAGCGAGCCTGACCAGCCGATCCCGATAGTCTCCTTTTACGACAAGCATGGGTTGCTGAAGACCAATTCTAACCCGGATCTTCACGGGTTGAGAGATTTATAAAAGCGGTGTCTGGTAACACGTTGCTACGTTTAAAAGACGATCAATCTAAGGTGGCATATTTCGAGATCAGTGTGGTGTTTGAGAATCCATTTGATTTCAAGGAGTTTTCTAATATGAATAATTTGTTCAAAATTATGCCAAAAATGAATAGTCAGTCGGCAGTGTTGTAAAAATTAATAATGTGGTTTGTAGAAAATATCAGACTGTAAAACATTAAGTGCTAATAGAGAAAGCGAATCGATGGTTGATGTTATGTAGTAAATAAATAGTTTGTTGGATATACAAATCAAATGGATGCTCCCTAGGGTCGACATGAACGCATCGTGTGAACCCCCCCACCCCACCCCCTCAAATTACCGTTAGACATATCAGCACCTTCTGGTGTCTATATTATGAACACGATGGTTAAAGGACAAATGTCATTATATGCGAAATTGGTATGATTTGAGGTGTCGGTCAACATCAGGGACCATTTAATATACGAGGTGTTAATTTAAATTCATATCTCGGGGATTACACCGTCAATGTGTAAATAAACAAAACTTCTGTTTCCGTTGATGATATCAGTGGGATTAGGTGTAGATTAGGCCTATATGTGTACATAGTCAGGGCTTCTGTTATATATAGTTTGCCCCTACCAAGCATGTCAGTGTGAAGTACCTATTTGGTGTTTAGCTAAATATAGTGTTAATTAAGTCATATTTAGTCTTATTGGAAAAGTACGATAATCCAAAGTGCTCCGTTATGCGTACTAAATAGTTGGACCTACTTTGATAAATCCCGTTATTTACATATGCATTTAAGAATTGATCAAACAATGAGTTCAAAAGCATACGTCATCAAAATTATGTATGGCTCCATGTTTCATATATTTTAAATGGTTTTAAGACCAATCTGTGGGAACCAAAATAATCCATATGATCAAATGATGATTGTCACGTGATCATGCGCGAACTGTCAACTACGACGGTAGTTAGCTGTCTTGTGCTGCTTATGGCGTTCTGTTGTATGCGCATTTTAAACTATATGAGGAATATGTTGACAACTTATCATGTGCCTTTTTTGATTTGAAGAGAATTATGATCGCAGATCAATGATGTATTAATCTTTCTGATGTATTTTAAATGAAAGCAATAAATTTTATTTATTTTAATCACACTGCTGTTTTAGTATATATGCACTGAAAGCGCCTGAAGCAACGGATGTTGCGACGTCATGATTCAATGCAGTTTTATGTCGACCCGAACATGAATTGATCAGGAATCGACCGAGGCCGGGGCACAGCATCAATCTGCTTGAAGATGACAGATGGACCAGGTGTGGAATCCTGATCAGACATCCGAAGTCAATAGCCATCTGTCACGGTGGCCATCCGATCAACAATCATTTCGACAGGAATCAAAGACTCTTTGTGTCTTTTTGTGACCAAAATGCATCAAAGCCTGAAGTCCAACATACTTCTATACAGAGGGTCATGTGTTGGCAACTTAACATGGAACTATACTAATTAGAAATGATAGAATTATAGAAACAATAGAGTGAGTGAGTATGGTTTTACGCCGCTTTTAGCAATGTTCCAGCAATATCACGGCGGGGGACACCAGAAATGGGCTTCACACATTGTACCCATGTCGGGAATCGAACCCGGGTCTTCAGCGTGACGAGCGAACGCTTTAACCACTAGGCTACCCGACCGCCCCAGAAACAATAGAACACCGATATTTGCATATGACTAGTTAATATGTCGTGTTTGGTAGGTAGTGAGTGCAACACCTGCTTTCTAATTGTGGGTGTTCATTAACTTGTGTTATGGAGGATTTAAGAAAATACGTCAATAAAAATACAATTGATGATAGTATATTGACAAGGTTCAAGCAAAGTACAACACGTTACAACGTCACGGATCCAGTGGCCCGAGGTGTACAACTCTGGATGTCTCGAACACGACTGTCACGAACAGTACTTCTTCTGATTCGTCGTTGTTAAAGTTCGATATACAGTGAAATCTCATTAATATACCGTGTAAGCCGACTTATCTGCACTTATCTGCACTATTGGTCAGGGATTCGAGTTAACCATACTTCACTGGAGTGAGTGAGTGAGTATGGTTTTACGCCGCTTTTAGCAATATTCCAGCAATATCACGGCGGGGGACACCAGAAATGGGCTTCAGATATTCTACCCATGTCGGGAATCGAACCCAGGTCTTCGGCGTGACGAGTGAACGCTTTAACCGCCCTACTTCACTGGAACAGGAAAACCTGGTGTGTTTGCTTTACCAAACTGGATATAACGCATATGGATAATCAAACCCAGGTTGTACACATTATAATTAAACTTAATAAGTCCATAAAGAAGTACACACACAAAAGAAATTCAAAGACAAACAATATTTTAATGACTGAATGTTTTATTATGTGCTTGCAGTGGAGTTGGTGCCTTTGAAGTTTGGCTTTACTGATGTCAGTTGTTGAATTTGCTGGTGTCGTGCTGTTGTTGTCAGAATGCCGAAGTGTTTGCCGTTTATGGTGACGGGACAATTTTTGTTTGGGTGAACAAGTGCACAAACTGTGTAGAGAGCCATGTCGAACTCAGGACTAGTTCCAACGAAGAAAGAACTGCTTTTGGCGATACCGTTCTTCCAGTTAAAGCGGACGTCTACGATATCGGGGTTCTGTTGGAAACGAATATGTGATTATTTATATGGCTTTCGGCAAAAGTCGAAGGACTTCTAAAAGAGTTCTCGTTAGCAACCTAGACCCTGTTATCATTGATTATCCACGTGCACCATCACTGTCAGTATATATCACTCGCTACCGTGAAACATCACTCGACAACATCACTGTCATTATATATCACTCGCTACGTGAAACATCACTCGCCAACATCACTGTCATTATACATCACTCGCAACCGTGAAACATCACTCGCCACCATCACTGTCATTATATATCACTCGCTACCGTGAAACTTCACTCGCCACCATCACTGTTATCATATATCACTCGCTACGTGAAACATCACTCGCCACCATCACTGTTATCATATATCACCCGCTACCGTGAAACATCACTCGCCAACATCACTGTCATTATACATCACTCGCTACCGTGAAACATCATTCGCCACCATCACTGTCGTATATCACTCGCTACCGTGAAACATCGCTCGCCACCATCACTGTCATATATCACTCGCTACCGTGAAACATCACTCGCCACCATCACTGTCATCATATATCACTCGCTACCGTGAAACATCACTCGCCACCATCACTGTTATCATATATCACCCGCTACCGTGAAACATCACTCGCCAACATCACTGTCATTATACATCACTCGCTACCGTGAAACATCATTCGCCACCATCACTGTCATATATCACTCGCTACCGTGAAACATCACTCGCCACCATCACTGTCATCATATATCACTCGCTACCGTGAAACATCACTCGCCACCATCACTGTCATATATCACTCGCTACCGTGAAACATCACTCGCCACCATCACTGTCATCATATATCACTCGCTACCGTGAAACATCACTCGCCACCATCACTGTCATTATATATCACTCGCTACCGTGAAACATCACTCGCCACCATCACTGTCATTATATATCACTCGCTACCGTGAAACTTCACTCGCCACCATCACTGTCATTATATATCACTCGCTACCGTGAAACATCACTCGCCACCATCACTGTCATCATATATCACTCGCTACCGTGAAACATCACTCGCCACCATCACTGTCATTATATATCACTCGCTACCGTGAAACATCACTCGCCACCATCACTGTCATTATATATCACTCGCTACCGTGAAACTTCACTCGCCACCATCACTGTCATTATATATCACTCGCTACCGTGAAACATCACTCGCCACCATCACTGTCATCATATATCACTCGCTACCGTGAAACATCACTCGAAAATATCACTGTCATTATATATCACTCGCTACCGTGAAACATCACTCGAAAATATCACTGTCATTATATATCACTCGCTACCGTGAAACATCACTCGAAAATATCACTGTCATTATATATCACTCGCTACCGTGAAACATCACTCGCCACCATCACTGTCATTATATATCACTCGCTTCCGTGAAACATCACTCGACACCATCACTGTCATATATCACTCGCTACCGTGAAACATCACTCGCCACCATCACTGTCATTATATATCACTTGCTACCGTGAAACATCACTCGCCACCATCACTGTCATTATATATCACTCGCCACCGTGAAACATCACTCGCCACCATCACTGTCTCTATATATATCACTCGCTACCGTGAAACATCACTCGACAACATCACTGTCTTTATATATCACTCGCAACCGTGAAACATCACTCGCCACCATCACTGTCTCTATATATATCACTCGCTACCGTGAAACACCACTCGCCACCATCACTGTCATTATATATCACTCGCTACCGTGAAACATCACTCGCCACCATCACTGTCATTATATATCACTCGCTACCGTGAAACTTCACTCGACAAAATCACTGTCATTATATATCACTCGCTACCGTGAAACATCACTCGCCACCATCACTGTCATTATATATCACTCGCTACCGTGAAACTTCACTCGACAAAATCACTGTCATTATATATCACTCGCTACCGTGAAACATCACTCGCAACCATCACTGTCATTATATATCACTCGCTACCGTGAAACATCACTCGCCAACATCACTGTTATTATATATCACTCGCTACCGTGAAACTTTACTCGATAAAATCACTGTCATTATATATCACTCGCTTCCGTGAAACATCACTCGCCACCATCGATGTCATTATATATCACTCGCTACCGTGAAACATCACTCGCCACCATTACTGTCATTATATATCACCTGCTACGTGAAACACCACTCGAAAACATCACTGTCATTATATATCACTTGCTACGTGAAACATCACTCGCCACCATCACTGTCATTATATATCACTCGCTACCGCGAAATATCGCTTGCCAACATCACTGTCGTGTTGATATGTCACTCTCCCCAATCAGGTCCTGATGCACTAGTCCCCGTCACTGCTTTCATACACCACCCGCTCCCACAGGTCCTGACACACCACCCGAACCCACAGGTCCTGACACACCGCCCGCCCAAACAGGTCCTGACACACCGCCCGAACCAACAGGTCCTGACACACCGCCCGAACCCACAGGTCCTGACACATCGCCCGAACCCACAGGTCCTGACACCTCGCCCGAACCCACAGGTCCTGACACATCGCCCGAACCCACAGGTCCTGACACACCGCCCGAATCCACAGGTCCTGACACGCCACCCGCTCCAACAGGTCCTGACACACCGCCCGAACCCAAAGGTCCTGAAACATCGCCCGAACCCACAGGTCCTGACACATCGCCCGAACCCACACAGGTCCTGACACACCGCCCGAACCCACAGGTCCTGACACACCGCCCGAACCCACAGGTCCTGACACACCGCCCGAACCCACAGGTCCTGACACACCGCCCGCCCACACAGGTCCTGACACGCCACCCGCCCACACAGGTCCTGACACACCGCCCGAACCCACAGGTCCTGACACACCGCCCGAACCCACAGGTCCTGACACACCGCCCGCCCACACAGGTCCTAACACGCCACCCGCTCCCACAGGTCCTGACACACCGCCCAAACCCACAGGTCCCGACACACCGCCCGAACCCACAGGTCCTGACACGCCACCCGCCCACACAGGTCCTGACACACAACCCGACCCCACAGGTCCCGACACACCGCCCGAACCCACAGGTCCTGACACGCCACCCGCCCACACAGGTCCTGACTCACACTTGCCCACACAGGTCCTGACTCACACTTGCCCACACAGGTCCTGACGCATCAGGTCTTTATACATCACCTACCCACGTGTAAAACATCACTCGCCCCATTCGACATACAGTACATACATGCGTCCATTCTCTTTTTGTCACCAGAAGGTCGTTACAGACACTGTATTTACCTGGGCATACTTGATAAATCCATCATAGTCCAGCTTTCCAGCCTTCTCCTCCTGGTAGAACTGTACCCAGTTGTGGAATCCCCGGACCGTTGTATTGCTTGTTTTGTGTGTTAACGTCTCACCAACCATAATGTGTTCGAATCCGCTATCGGACAGTGCGGAGGCGTGGTTTTGTACTGGATAAAGTTCGAACCACATTTCGTTGATGATTGTACGGAAGGCCTTCATGTCACTCTTCATAAAACCTGGAAAAAATGAGAAAATAATATCTTCTGTTAAAAAGAAAGAAAAAACCCACCTAATAAGACGTTCCATGCGCAACACTATTTCGATGTCTGAAGCAAATATTTCTTTGAAACAGGACGTTGTAGTTCTTTTTCTCGTTATTCATTATAGAGAAATTAGTGCACGAGTCGCCGTTACTGAGAGTTTGTATCCGCCGAGTGTTTCAAATTTTAACCAACGATCGAAATACACGAGTTGAAATAAAAGTATGTTATTTTAACTGACGTAGACCCCTGTGTAATTCACAGTCGACCGTTCAACATTTACGGAGTCTCCAAATAGATGACCACAGAACAAGCTACTGAACATAAAATTGTGTGTCCTCTCATTTCCAGTCTTAGATTTTAGTGCCTAGTCTTCTTATGATTGAATTGTATAACTGTACCCGCCCGTGTCCCTTCCAAACGACCCCACACCATGGAGCTATGCATGATAAACACATTATGAAAATAAGATGAAGACAGCAGACAGAACCATCGGCATCAAATGCCAAACTGAAGAATTCAGGTTGGAGAAGAAAAATGTCAAGCATCCTTTTGTTATTATTGTTATTTGATTGTCTAGGGGCAGCAGTGTGGTGGTAACATTGCATGGTTTCTCTGTAAACCACACACACCAATCGCATTTAGTCTGATTACGTCTTACCATTATCTACCAGGAACCTACGTCTTACCAGTATCTACCAGGAACGTACGTCTTACCACTATCTACCAGGAACGTACGTCTTACCACTATCTACCAGGAACGTACGTCTTACCACTATCTACCAGGAACTTACGTCTTACCACTATCTACCAGGAACGTACGTCTTACCACTATCTACCAGAAACGTACGTCTTACCACTATCTACCAGGAACGTACGTCTTACCACTATCTACCAGGAACGTACGTCTTACCACTATCTACGAGGAACTTACGTCTTACCACTATCTACCAGGAACCTACGTCTTACCACTATCTACGAGGAACTTACGTCTTACCATTATCTACGAGGAACTTACGTCTTACCATTATCTACCAGGAACTTACGTCTTACCACTATCTACCAGGAACTTACGTCTTACCACTATCTACCAGGAACCTACGTCTTACCATTATCTACCAGGAACTTACGTCTTACCATTATCTACCAGGAACCTAAAGGTGAGCTGCATGACCTTTGTTTTAGAGATGGCGTCCCAGAACTTATTCTCCTCCTGAATCTCGTGGTTTGGGCGGTGTTCCGCGTGATGCACGTTCGCTGCATAGTTGTCTAACAGGTGTATGAATGTAGGGTAGGTGGTGTTGTGGTCAGTCAGGAGAACGTCAAGTTGATTGTCCGCTGGAGTGATCAGCCTGTAAGTGTCATCACAACGTGACGTTATAAATGGGCACGGCACAAATAAGTCTGTAGGTATCAGTACAACAAGACATTCTTCTTATCCACGTCCTAGATGAGCCTTTAAGTATCGCGTTGTGTTCAAATCCTTTATGGAAGCTATATATTCATTCCTTCTCTTCAAAGATGCTTTCGATCTTGTACTTTGATATTTGATAGTGTGATATTACCAGTTCTCCCTGTTGAGTATCTGTAGGCAGCACGATTAAAAAAAGGGCCGCATCTCTGCTGCTTTTTATAAGAGGCAACTGACTGTATCGGATGGTCAGCTTCAGTGACCCCGAAAGCAGATGACATTGCTCACAATAATTATCAACTGACTCGATTATTAACAGACCGACGTAAACATAAAAGCAAACAAACACTTATTTTGAATCGGTAAAAACATTATTACTCTTACTTGCCGGTTGCGCCATCACCCGTCTCTTTGCCCGTGGTCATACCCTGGTAGTTGAGGGTGTACAAGGATCCGTCCACCCGGTTCACATCGTTGTCCCAGATACTCTGGGCAAAGGTGACCAATTCTTTGGGCGTTACCACGAGACCATACTCAGAACCTGACATTAATAATATTGGTGATACATGTCATATTGGAGGGGAGATGGTATGCGATGAAATGGGGTTTAACGTCGCTTTCAAAATTATTGCACTTAGATAACGACGTGCATGCACGTCTGTGTGTTGCTAATTGTACTAATACGGACAAGGGCCGGTTTTATAGTGCTAGCCCATTGATATACCATGCAACGGCTTAACATGGACACCCCATTCAGACACAGTATACAGACTCCGGGGCGACCACTCCTTGTTTCTTCCCCTCAATGCCGACGGCAGGCACAGTGACAACAAGTACCATATTTTAACGTCTTTTGGTACGACGCAGCCAGGGGATCGATCTACCGACCTTCATCACTCCGGGCAGATACTTTATCCTGCACACCGCAGAGGCGGCCTATTGTACCTTACATACAGCTTCATTTGTATGCATATTCATGATACTAACATGTACATGAACGTGTTCAGTTTTAAGAAGAGAAATAACGGTAATTATTGCATTTACAAATTATGTCTGTATTTTCATTGGTTAGAGAAAGGGTCACATGACCTTCCTTTAAGCATGGTATTGCCATGAGACCAATCCTGCTTGGCTGCGATCAGAAGTGATATTGCCTTGTGTGATTGAGCCAATGAACCCAAAGGAGAGAAATACTTAGAGTGAGCGTAACGCAAGGCCTGTTGTGCATCACCTCCTGTAACTTCCGTGACATCTGATACAGTTATTGTTGAATTTGAAATATTCTTGTTTTTAAATTATGTAATAAAACACCAACATGTTTTATGGACCGATAAAACCGATATTGACCTCGGCCACCAGCCTAGTTTCTTGGGTCCATAAAACATGATATTGCAATCATGAATGGTCAATAATTGATCATAAGTCTCTCAAACGGTACATGTCGGCAATACTGTGTTGATGCAGCAACTGTACTATACTGCAGCAAGCACTTTAAACTACTACTACTACTACTACTACTACTACTACTACTACTACTACTACTACTACTACTACTACTACTACTACTGCCAATAAACACCATCACCACTACTTCATATTTGCTAAAAAACATTAATACAAAAGCCTCTCGATAGTATTGGTGTTAAAACTTTAGGACCTAATGCAAGAATCACTGTAACAATATCAGATTGTCAGCTTACTATGGCCAAGTTTAGTATCACTAACATTTACTTACACTGAGCACATTGCTACAATAATATTACAAAAGATATTCTTGACCTCTGAAAATTAAAGTTGTTTCCAACTTTATACCGACCTCTGCATCTGGTCCAGAAGTCCCCGCAGCAGTTGCCGATGGTCTCGCAGTCAGCGTCGCACTGACAGCTGAAGGTGTAGTCGTTGGGGGTGAAGCAACGATTTGCACAGGTTCCTGAAAATATGAATTCAAAACAGTACTGAAGATATCAAGATTTCTCTGTAACATGTGTATGGTTGGAAGGTGAGGCGACGGTACATGAAGACAGACACCCAATGTCATGATAGACACCATGGCATATAGCGCCTCCATTTGCAGAATATACACATATAGTAGTCCCAGATTTGCCCCGGGTATGAGTATTGGGTTCAAAGTGGAAGACATCTGCCACCTGTGTTAATTTGGAATTTTCTCCAACAGATGGCGGCGGCCAGTAAATAATCGAGTCTGATCGAAAGATCGCCGCCATGTAGGTTTTTGGTTTGTTTATTTGTTTGTCGTTTAACGCCGCAATCAACAATAGTCCTGCCTATATGACGGCGGCCTTTAAATAACCGAGTCTGGACCAGACAATCCAGTGATTGACATCATGAGCATCGATCCACGCAACTGGGATACGATGACATGCATCAACCAAGTCAGCGAGCCTGACCACCCGATCCCGTTAGTCGCCTATTACGGCAAGCATGGGTTGCTGGAGACCTATTCTACCCCGGATCTTAACGGGTAGACATACAAGTGACATTTGTAATTGGTTGGACATTTTGCAGATGAAAAATGAACCGTGTCACTGTAAGTTATAAATAGAACTAAAACAATAAAATGCATGTTCAAAGAAAATCGATTAAAATAACTATAATTAAATCTGGGTCCCGTATACACTACAAACATGCGTAAGTAATCCATATACATATTAAGCGTTTGTGTATTTAAGTTATTGATTTTCAATAATGATCAACCAATCAGTGACAAATTATTATGAATCGGAACAGAATGAAAATACATTGAAATCAAGTTAGAGAGGAAGATGTTTAAAGAGACAGATGTACCATGGCGTAGCAGGAACAGGGCATGAGCCCCAGCAACGATACCAACGACGACGAATAGGATCGCACACAGCTTCATGACTGACATGGGGAATACAAAATCAGGAATCTGGCCTCTTCTTATAAGAGAGTTCTTAGAACAAATACTGCTCCGTTCAAAGAACATGGTCGTGTGATCAGATACTATTTCTTGTAATTGTTTCACAGAAAACATTAGAAAATAAGTATATTGATTTGAAATACCCCTCACTTTCATTTAATTTAAATTAGGAAAGTAACCCACTCCAACTACAATACATTTAATAAGTGTTTTTTACTACAGACAATTAAGGCGGAGCTGTAAGGGTCACCAACATGTTCATTCCCAAGCATGAGTCAGATAACCTATCGCCCCATGTACCCTGCCCTGGCACAGAATGTCTGGAACTCAACACGCATAGGGTGACCTTTCGATTAGGTAATTTCAGAAAAAAGAGCATCAATAATTATTTTTATTTTTTTATTTTTTCCCAGCAGGTACAGCATTTATAAATTTATATACATGTCGTGTCAATACAATTGTGGTACATGGTATTCAAGAAATGTACATCTTTTCATACATATAAATTCTTTATTTCATAAATATTTATGAGATATTGGTCCACCTAAGCATAAAAAGACTCAACTCTCAACGAATCTATATATAATGTACATACTATGTTGAAATTTCCAACTCACGATGTTGTCATCGCACAAGATTGCACCTTATATAACAGAATCTGATACAAAATATGTCAACTACTTATTCCTGTGACCTTTGTATTTAAACACAACTTCACTAAGATGGCGTCTATAGTGTTTGGGCAGTACATGTATATGGATTGAACAAAACAAACGGTAATTGGTACGCTTATTGCTTTACATTTGCAGACAAACCCTCGGCCAATGCAAGTGCTTGTACATCATCTGTTGTGTCTCTGTGGAAATTCGGCTCGTGTCGACTGTGTGCCCTTTTATGATTGTACCAGTGTGGACATTCTACTAGAATCGATTTTGTGCCGTAAAATGGCCGGGCCTGTGTGGAGTGTCAGCTTGAGTCACTTTGGAGCTGTTATATGTCTGTGTCTGTGTGGAGATTCAACTAGAGTCACTTTGGAGCCGTTATATGGCTGTGCCTGTGTGGAGTGTCAGCTGGAGTCAATCTGGAGCCGTTATATGGCTGTCTGTGTGGAGTTCCAGCTATAATCAATCTGGAGCCGTTATATGGCTGTGCCTGTGTGGAGATTCAACTAGAGTCACTTTGGAGCCGTTATATGGCCGTGCCTGTGTGGAGTGTCAGGTAGAGACAATCTGGGGCCGTTATATGACTGTCTGTGTGGAGTGTCAGCTAGGGACGATCTGGAGCCGTTATATGCCTGTGCCTGTGTGGAGATTCAACTAGAGTCAATTTGGAGCCGTTATATGTCTGTGCTTGTGTGGAGATTCAACTAGAGTCACTTTCGAGCCGTTATATGGCCGTGCCTGTGTGGAGTGTCAGCTAGAGACAATCTGGAGCCGTTATATGTCTGTGCCTGTGTGGAGTGTCAGCTAGAGTCACTTTGGAGCCGTTATATGTCTGTGCCTGTGTGGAGATTCAACTAGAGTCACCTTGGAGCCGTTATATGGCCGTGCCTGTGTGGAGCGTCAGCTAGAGTCACTCTGGATCCGATACATGACTGTCTGTGTGGAGATTCATATAATGACATCCGATGGGGATCAGGCAGGCATGATGTGTTACCTGGCTGTTTGCGTATCATCATACCCCGATGGCATAGATCGTTTATCATGCTAAAACATCTGGTTGCCTGGCCCATGTTCCACTATTTCCAGTCATAGTAAAGCTTGAATACTGCAGACTGATGAGCAAGCAACAGCATGTTATCACACAACTGGCTACTCTTACAAAGATCGTTCCAATCACTGGATTGTCTTGTCCAGATTCGATTAGTTGCAGACCGACGTCATATAGCTGAATATTTCTAAGTGCGCAGTTAAACAACAAACAAACAAAACAAAGTTCGTCCCCAAAAAGAGCTTAAGTGTTCTTCCTTCATTGTTGATGGTGAATGAAAATATTCATTTTTTTCACGCTTGCATACCTTTTGGATAGTTCACCCGTACGCGTTATTCCTTTTGTTCAAAGGGCCATGACATCTGCAATATTCACGATTTATACATTTCCCAGAATACCGCTGTCAATATGTTGCGAGCATAATCTTCTGTCAATTGATCCCATGAATCATTGGACCGCCTCTAGTGGTCTAGTGGTAGAGCGTCCGTCCGGAGAGCGGACGGTCCGGGGTTCGATCCCCAGCCGCGTCATACCAAAAGACGTTAAAAGATGGTACTTGTTGCTACCCTGTCTGGCGCTCGGCATTAAGGGGATAAAAACAAGGACTGGTCGGCTCGGAGTCAGTATTCTGTGTCTGAGTGGGGTATTCCTGTTAAACTGCGGCATGGTATCTCAGTAGGCTAGCACTATTAAATCGACACCAGCCCGGACTAGTACAAGCACGCACACACACACACACACACGCACGCACGCACGCACGCACGCACGCACGCACGCACGCACGCACGCACGCACACACACACACACACACACACACGTGCATACACGTCTTTATCATAAGTGCAATAATCGTCAGCGTGACGTTAAACTGCGGCATGGTATCTCAGTAGGCTAGCACTATTAAATCAACACCAGCCCGGACTAGTACAAGCACGCACGCACACGCACGCACACACACACACACACACACACACACACACACACACACACACACACACACACACACACACACACACACACACACACACACACACACACACACACACACACACACACACACACACGTCGTTATTATAAGTGCAATCTAAAACGAGAGGACATAGGGGTTCAGTGGTATGTGTTGAGTCAGTTCCCATAACCTTACCAAGACGCTTGTTTTGTGTTCGAATCCACTTTCGATTATAATTGATAACTCTCCATCTAAAGCGTTTGCATAACCAACTTGGCAATCACTTAAGATTGTCCTAAAGCACCAAGTTGACAGGGCATGAACAATTGAATCAACTCAATCCGGTGGTATGTCACTGTATGCCAATTGCGTGTACGATGCTTAAGATATCAATCACTGGATTATCTAGTTTCAGATCAAGATCGCCGCATTGTAGGTTTTTTGTTTGTTTATTTGTTTGTTGTTTAACGCCGCATTCAACAATAGTCCTGCTATATGACGGCGGCCTGTAAATCATCCAGTCTGGATCAGACAATTCAGTGATTCACTTCATGAGCATCGACCTACGCAATTGGGATACGATGACATACATCAACCCAGTCAGCGGGCCTAGCCACCCAATCCCGTTAGTCGCCTCTTACGACATCCCAAGCATTGTCCCCTTTTACAGCAAGCATGAGTTGCTGAAGACCTATTCTAACCCGGATCTTCACGGGTCTCATGTAGCTTGAATATTGTTGAGTGCGAAATTAAATATTAAACAAACAAACAAACAACAAACAACAATACCATACGAATACACCAGATGAAGAATGCCATGCCTATGTCATAAACAAGATCTCTTGACAGCTATTTATAGGCCATGATTACATGTATTTTACCAGATTAACATCCCGCCACATGCCTTTTCCCAATATAACTGAAATAACGCGAACGTGGTTATCTTTTATCATATTTGTAAACTCTGTCGATTGGTTTCAATACCACTACCAATATATTTTCCACAAGTTGTTTGAATTACCTCCATAGAGACGCACGTGCAATAAAGATATGAAGCTCTCTACAGTAGTGTTGACGTAATGCAGACATCATTATCAACGATGTTGATCCCTCTTTGCGATACGATTTTCAATATTAAAACCCATTATGATGACGTCACGCTATTGTTGTTGCAGCTGATATTGAGCCAAGAATTCTCTGGCCAGTCTGAACGTGCATTTTAAAAAAGGACATCTGACCCAACTACACTAAAAACGTATTTCGAATGTACTTAGGAATGTGTTTAAATCCTGAACGGGATACACATGTTCTATCTAAACACGATTAGGGTCAAAACGCAAAACGATTAGGGTCACAGCCCTCACATCATCTAAACACCACATCCCTATAATCGAAACATGTTTAGAATTAATAAACATGTTTAAAATGTAAACATGTATAGAATTTAAACAGAATTTAAATGCAAATATAGTGCATACCATTAGGCATAAAATCAAATATGGATAGGATGTAGAATATATATTGAGATTAGATGTGCAAAAAGGATTTAGGGGCACTTGCACAACACATATACCACGAGTACTTTCAAAGAACTTGGTACAACATAAACATGTACAAATAAACCAAGCTAAGTTAATCACGACAAGGAAAATTGTCTACCGTGACAACAACAGTCTCCCTAGCACAGGTTGTAGTGTGTCGGACTACAAAGTTAAAGGTTCATAAAGGTTTGTTTCTGAATGACAAATAGCATTTCTATCATAAAGTTGGTTGGTTGGTTGGTTTGTTGTTTAACGCCGCACTCAGCAATCTTTCAGCTATATGACGGCGTTCTGTAAATAATCGAGTCTGGACCAGACAATCCAGTGTTTGACATCATGAGCATCGATCGACACATTTGGGATACGATGACATGCTGCAACCCATCAGCGAGCCTGACCACCCGATCCCGTTAATCGCCTTTTACGACAAGTATAGTCACCTTTTACGGCAAGCATGGGTTGCTGAAAACCTATTCTACCCCGGAATCTTCACGGGTCTCTATCATAAAGGATCATATAGCCATACCCATCATTCATTAATCACTAATGCTTTTAATGCAGAAGACTTCACTCTGAATACCTAAACATATATAATGTCCTGATTTCGAGGTTTAAGAGTAGTGTTTATTTTACGATTGCCGGTGTTAAATAACAATGACTGCAGTGATTTTTCCTTTCATACTTATCCAAGGCGTAATAAAAAAAGAAAGATTAAAAGAATGAAAAGCCAGCACTATGACTACAAGAAGTGTTTATTGAGACAATGCGGACAATTAGTAATCCAGAGCTGGTGCTGTCGTAGTAGTAGCTGAAGGATCTTGGAACTTGAGAGTCGCTGACGTGAGCTGCAGTACCTCCTGGTGGCGCCCCGTTGTAGCGTCTACTCTATAGCGGTGGCCGTTGATGACAATGGGGCAATCCTTGTTGGGATAGGCCAGGCCACACACTGTGTACAAGGCCAGATCAAACTCAGGGCTTGTACCGACAAAGAATGTCTTTCCTTTAGCAAGAGCATTCTTCCAGTTGAAAAGAACGTCGACGACATTTGGGTCCTGGAAGAGAGTTGAAACACGTGTATTACTCCCTTGTGTGCCGTATATATGTCTGGGGCTAGCTATCCCTATCCTACGGTAACATTCACACTGTCCTACCGCTAACTTAACTTGACGGCGACCTTCGCTTGTCAGGTCACGGATGAAGCCATGACGACCAAACGTTAAATGTCGAGGCAGCAGTAGCGAAACTATGCGCCGAAATAAAAGTAGCCTTATGTACTACACGAAGAGAACACAATCTTGCTAATCTGGACGGAGCAGTGTTATATGAAGTCTTAAGTAATGAGTGAGTGAGTGAGTATGGTGTTATGCCGCTTTTAGCAAAGTCCAGCATTATCACGGCGGTGGACACCAGAAATGGGCTTCACACATTGTACCCATGTCATTTGATACCCAACCATGTAATATTCTATAAGGTGTGGGCAGTAGGGTTGGGAGAAGACTGGGGGTTTTGATACGGTCAGGATATTCCTTCTGTTGCTGTTTTATAAACAGTTATACCTGTGAAAAGAAGAGGCGAGTAACTGCGTACCAGAGAATCCAGCATATTTTTGTATTTTTCCGGAGATAGAACCCGAGAAAACGTTATATTTTTTACAGTTATAATTTTTAAATTGTACACCCTCCAATTGCAGGCCTACTCGCACCACACAAACGCCTTTCCACCTCAGAATATCAAATGCTCTGTCCCTTAGCGGGGCCGCCAGTTCGTCACAACTTACCTGGGTATACTTAATATAACCGTAATAATCCAGATTCCCGGCCTTCTCCTCCTGGTAGAACTGTACCCAGTTCCCGAAGCCGCCGATGGTGGCGGATTGGTTCTGTTGGGCGTGTTGATGGTGCTGTGTTTTCTCGCCTATCATGATGTGTTCGAATCCACTGTCAGATTTTACGGTAGCGTGACTCTTTGGATACAGTTCGAACCACATTTCATTGATGACGGTACGGAATGCGTGCATGTCACTCTTTATGAAGCCTGAAACAGACAGTCAGTAAAAAGGTTTTAGAGTGATCAGTATGTCAGATAGTATTATCACGGCCTATAAACCACATGTGGAAGGAGTGAGCTTGGGTTAACGCCGTTTTGAACAGTATTCCACTTCAATCACGGCGTGTCAGCTTAATCTGGGAAGAAAGCCGCACGGGATGCAGGTTTCGGACGTTTACCACTTTGGTGAAACCCGAGAGCACCGGTATGGTATTGATAAACCTAGAAATATGATGGGGGCAAACCGGGATTCGAACCCACAATCATAGATTTCTGGTGTGCGCAAGGGACGCAACTCTGAGACGACTGAGCCACCCATGGTCCCTTATGTGGAAGAAAAAACAATGACCGAGGCCGACGAACCAATGATGACTATTCTGCGTTTATAACCCGCGACCAGGGGGTCCCAGCATGACTGCACATAAAACCACATCCACATTCGTATAAAAACATGTTATACGAATGTGGATATGGTAATATTTGGTTACAGCCACATGTTGACACGCCACAGCATTTCGTCACCAGTTTGACACAGACCTTAACAGATATGTACATCCAAAAATTGCATCGTTACTTGTCCAGTGCTATAAAAGCAAATTACTACACTACATTTAAGAATACTACATACTAGAGCCTTATCTATCAAGTGTAAATTTACATAAGTTAAGAACAACTCTTTCTCGATATGATCTATGTATTAAATCAGGCAGATGCAGATGGGATATTGTACGAGAACATAGACTTTGTAAGATTTGTAAAACTGATTGTAATGAAGATGAATATCACTTTTTATGTGTATGCTCAGTGTACAATGATTTAAGAGCAAAATATCTTATTAACTATTTCTACACAACCCAAATGGTAACAAATTTTGTTAATTAATGACATGTGATTGCATTTATCCACGTTCATTTATCATGCTATGAAACTAAGAAAATGTATGAATTTGTAACACGCCCCAGACAATGTACTATAAGCCTTTGGCCTCATCGGTACCATGAATAAAGAATGATTGACTGCTTATTGCAAATCTGCACATTGAAATCCAGCACAGATACAGGAGGCTATTAAATTATGAGTGTAAAGAGATAATTAAAAAGTACAATCATTTCTAGAACGGTTTTAATTGAAACGATACCGGATTTTTTTTTATTGACAGTAGTCTGTGTTTGGAAAACCCACCGGGGTATCTGGGAAACAGAAACGTCCAGTTGTTGTGGTGCAACTATGACTACAGGTCCTATCCGCGACTTTATTATTTATACAGGTGTAGCAGCTCAACTACTGCTGAAGGTCCCCCAAGTCACTAACGTATACGGTAGTTGTAGGTCAACTACTGCTGAAGGTCAACCAAGTCACTTACTTATACGGTAGTTGTAGGTCAACTACTGCTGAAGGTCCCCCAAGTCACTAACGTATACGGTAGTTGTAGGTCAACTACTGCTGAAGGTCAACCAAGTCACTTACTTATACGGTAGTTGTAGGTCAACTACTGCTGAAGGCCCTCCACGTCACTAACGTATACGGTAGTTGTAGGTCAACTACTGCTGAAGGTCCCCCAAGTCACTAACATATACGGTAGTTGTAGGTCAACTACTGCTGAAGGCCCTCCACGTCACTTACGTATACGGTAGTTGTAGGTCAACTACTGCTGAAGGTCCTCCACGTCACTAACGTATACGGTAGTTGTAGGTCAACTACTGCTGAAGGCCCTCCACGTCACTTACGTCTACGGTAGTTGTAGGTCAACTACTGCTGAAGGCCCTCCACGTCACTTACGTCTACGGTAGTTGTAGGTCAACTACTGCTGAAGGTCCTCCACGTCACTAACGTATACGGTAGTTGTAGGTCAACTACTGCTGAAGGTCCTCCACGTCACTTACGTCTACGGTAGCTGTAGGTCAACTACTGCTGAAGGCCCTCCACGTCACTTACGTCTACGGTAGTTGTAGGTCAACTACTGCTGAAGGCCCTCCACGTCACTTACGTCTACGGTAGCTGTAGGTCAACTACTGCTGAAGGTCCTCCACGTCACTTACGTCTACGGTAGCTGTAGGTCAACTACTGCTGAAGGCCCTCCACGTCACTTACGTCTACGGTAGCTGTAGGTCAACTACTGCGGAAGGTCCTCCACGTCACTTACGTATACGGTAGTTGTAGGTCAACTTCTGCTGAAGGTCCTCCACGTCACGTACGTAGACGGTAGTCGTAGGTCAACTACTGCTGAAGGTCAACCAAGTCACTTACATACACGGTAGTTGTAGGTCAACTACTGCTGAAGGCCCTCCACGTCACTAACGTATACGGTAGTTGTAGGTCAACTACTGCTGAAGGTCCTCCACGTCACTAACGTATACGGTAGTTGTAGGTCAACTACTGCTGAAGGCCCTCCACGTCACTTACGTCTACGGTAGTTGTAGGTCAACTACTGCTGAAGGTCCTCCACGTCACTAACGTCCACGGTAGTTGTAGGTCAACTACTGCTGAAGGCCCTCCACGTCACTTACGTATACGGTAGTTGTAGGTCAACTACTCCTGAAGGTCCTCCACGTCACTTACGTCTACGGTAGCTGTAGGTCAACTACTGCTGAAGGCCCTCCACGTCACTTACGTCTACGGTAGCTGTAGGTCAACTACTGCTGAAGGTCCTCCACGTCACTTACGTCTACGGTAGTTGTAGGTCAACTACTGCTGAAGGCCCTCCACGTCACTTACGTCTACGGTAGTTGTAGGTCAACTACTGCTGAAGGTCCTCCACGTCACTAACGTATACGGTAGTTGTAGGTCAACTACTGCTGAAGGTCCTCCACGTCACTTACGTCTACGGTAGCTGTAGGTCAACTACTGCTGAAGGCCCTCCACGTCACTTACGTCTACGGTAGTTGTAGGTCAACTACTGCTGAAGGCCCTCCACGTCACTTACGTCTACGGTAGCTGTAGGTCAACTACTGCTGAAGGTCCTCCACGTCACTTACGTCTACGGTAGCTGTAGGTCAACTACTGCTGAAGGCCCTCCACGTCACTTACGTCTACGGTAGCTGTAGGTCAACTACTGCGGAAGGTCCTCCACGTCACTTACGTATACGGTAGTTGTAGGTCAACTTCTGCTGAAGGTCCTCCACGTCACGTACGTAGACGGTAGTCGTAGGTCAACTACTGCTGAAGGTCAACCAAGTCACTTACATACACGGTAGTTGTAGGTCAACTACTGCTGAAGGCCCTCCACGTCACTAACGTATACGGTAGTTGTAGGTCAACTACTGCTGAAGGTCCTCCACGTCACTAACGTATACGGTAGTTGTAGGTCAACTACTGCTGAAGGCCCTCCACGTCACTTACGTCTACGGTAGTTGTAGGTCAACTACTGCTGAAGGTCCTCCACGTCACTAACGTCCACGGTAGTTGTAGGTCAACTACTGCTGAAGGCCCTCCACGTCACTTACGTATACGGTAGTTGTAGGTCAACTACTCCTGAAGGTCCTCCACGTCACTTACGTCTACGGTAGCTGTAGGTCAACTACTGCTGAAGGCCCTCCACGTCACTTACGTCTACGGTAGCTGTAGGTCAACTACTGCTGAAGGTCCTCCACGTCACTTACGTCTACGGTAGCTGTAGGTCAACTACTGCTGAAGGCCCTCCACGTCACTTACGTCTACGGTAGCTGTAGGTCAACTACTGCTGAAGGTCCTCCACGTCACTTACGTCTACGGTAGCTGTAGGTCAACTACTGCTGAAGGCCCTCCACGTCACTTACGTCTACGGTAGCTGTAGGTCAACTACTGCTGAAGGCCCTCCACGTCACTTACGTCTACGGTAGCTGTAGGTCAACTACTGCTGAAGGTCCTCCACGTCACTTACGTCTACGGTAGCTGTAGGTCAACTACTGCTGAAGGTCCTCCACGTCACTTACGTCTACGGTAGCTGTAGGTCAACTACTGCTGAAGGTCCTCCACGTCACTTACGTCTACGGTAGTTGTAGGTCAACTACTGCGGAAGGTCCCCCACGTCACTTACTTATACGGTAGTTGTAGGTCAACTACTGCTGAAGGTCCCCCAAGTCACTAACGTATACGGTGGTTGTAGGTCAACTACTGCTGAAGGCCCTCCACGTCACTAACGTATACGGTAGTTGTAGGTCAACTACTGCTGAAGGCCCTCCACGTCACTTACGTCTACGGTAGTTGTAGGTCAACTACTGCTGAAGGCCCTCCACGTCACTTACGTCTACGGTAGCTGTAGGTCAACTACTGCTGAAGGTCCTCCACGTCACTTACGTAGACGGTAGTCATAGGTCAACTACTGCTGAAGGTCAACCAAGTCACTTACATACACGGTAGCTGTAGGTCAACTTCTGCTGAAGGTCCTCCACGTCACGTACGTAGACGCTAGTCGAAGCTCAACTACTGGTGAAGGTCAACCAAGTCACTTACATACACGGTAGTTGTAGGTCAACTGCTGCTGAAGGTCCTCCACGTCACTTACGTATACGGTAGTCGAAGCTCAACTACTGGTGAAGGTCAACCAAGTCATTTACGTATACGGTAGTTGTAGGTCAACTACTGCTGAAGGACAACCAAGTCATTTACGTATACGGTAGTCGTTAGGCAACTATTGCTGAAAGTCCCCCAGGTCACTTACGTCTACGGCAGTCGTTGCGCAATTACTGCTGAAGGTCCGCCAAGTAGTTACGTATTCGGTAGTCGTAGCTCTACTATTGCTGCATATACCGTATGGTGTACAAGAGAGCCGAGTTGCAAATAACAATGATGAAACAGGATCAACGGTTTCGGAGCGTACCATTATTTAGCAGGAACTGGAAAGTCATCTGCATGACCTTTGTCTGAACGATGGTGTTCCAGAAGGTGTCTTCCTCTTTAATTTCATGTTCTGGGCGGTGTTCATCATGTTGGACGTTGATTTCATAGTTGTTCAGGAGTCTTATGAAGGCATGGTAGGTGGTGTTGGTTGTGTCGAACAGGTCGTCCAGACCAGTGCCCACTGGCTGGATGAATCTACACACGGACATGCCTCATGGTAATTACACATATACACACTTGACTACAGAAGAGCTACGTACAGTGGAATCACATAACAGTGGCTTACTGTTTAGGGAAGTTCCGGCATCCCGGCATAACCGAAAACTGACGGTTTCATGTCGGCATTCCACTTGTCATGAATTACAGATTACTGGATAAGTCATATTTTAAATTTGGCTTTCACTGTACATGACCTTGGACGCTTTCTGTGTCGAGTTACCGCAATATTTAAAGTTTAAAGCCCACAAGATGAGTTGGAGTTAAAATGAAATGGGGTTTAACGTCGCGTTCAAGATTGTTTCACTTCAGAAGCGACCTGTATGCACGTGGGTGGTCTTTACGCAACCCTTGTCTGATTGGGCTAAGTGGTTAAGGTCGTTACCTTTCTCGCCGGTGTTCGAGTCTCGACTTGGGTACAGAGTGTGAAGCCTGTTTAGGTTACTCACCTATCGGGAGCCCCATCTGAGATGTCGGGGGAAATTATTTTTCCTTGGTAGTTTAGTGTAAAGAGGCTGGAATCTATTCTGTTGACATCGTTGTCCCAGATACCTTGTACGAAAGTGTTCATTTCCTGCGTTGTCACAACAAGGCCGTACTCGGATCCTGTTGATGATAAGGGGAGGTTATGTTTCATCGGTGTATTGTATGCTATTGCAGACACTACAAATACAGTTGCTGTAGTCACTACAGTGATTACCACTGGCTGTGCCAGTACCATAGCGACGACGACCACTAAAACTACAACTTCATCTGCCACTGCCACTGCCATAGCGACAACGACCACTAAAACTACAACTTCATCTGCCACTGCCACTGCCATAGCTACGGCGACCATTATCACCACGACTACCACCGTGAAGATCCGGGTCTTCAGCAACCCATGCTTGTAGTAAGAGGCGCCTATAGAATCAGAATCAGAATCAGTTTATTCTCAGAAACCACAAAAGGTGGTACAAGAGCATATTACAATAAATAATTATGCATATGTACAAAAAGCAGACAAGATGGCAATTAATAACAACATGTGATTACCTAGCATTTTTAATACTAATGGACATTTTTACAATGAATCTCGATATTTTTTTGAGATCCTGTGTGTTTGTTGTTGATAAGAGTTTTACAAATTTTATAATATTTGGCCATTCAGTATAATATGGTGAGAGAAATGTTCGCCTCTCTCTTTTAAAATAATTACATCTGAATAAGTAGTGAAATTCATCAGCAATAGATGGGGAATTACATAATTTACAAGTTCTATTTTCCTTGGGAATATTTTTCCATCGACCAGTCTCATTAGGTAAATTATGATTACAGGTTCGAAATCGTAGTATTGGAATTGCTATTCGTTTTGGCAATAGAAAATATTTATCGAGAACCGGAGTGTCCTTTAAATGTTTATAGTATAAGCCTTTAGAACTAGAATTAACGTCACTTCTCCATTTCTGAAAAAAGGGATCTTTAAGTATTTGCTCTACTTCTGACACTAGCCACTTTGTTGTGCAGATTGACGGATTGTTAAATACATAAGATAATCCAATACTGTCTAATATATTCATAACACATCTAACCCAGGGATTTGTTGATGCAATAGTCTTGTTCCCGTTAATTGACAGATATTGATATAACAGCTGTGAAAGTTTATACACTCCAGTTTGGTATGTTAATTTGTGCCAGAAAGATATCATTCGTTTACAAATTATTATTCTTAATGGTAGCCTACCTAATTCGCCATATATCATATAACGAGGAGTTGAATTTCTTAATCCTGTGATAAGTCTGAGGAATTTGAGGTGTATTCTTTCTATAATTTCTAAATTTTCAAAGCCCCAGATTTCTGAACCATAAGTTAATATTGGTAATACCATCGTATCAAAAGCTGATAATACACAGTCCAAAGGTAAATTTAAATTTCTTGATTTTTTTATCAGGCAAAACATTGCTTTCAAAGCATTATCACTGAGGGACTTAAGACTTGATACTAGTTTTCTATTCCTGTGAAGTACAATTCCTAAATACGTATAAGTGTCGACAATATCTAGAGTTTTATCAGAATAGTGGAATTTATGTTTCGAATTTTTCGATGGGCCACCACCGAAAATCACAATTTTTGTTTTATTTATATTTACATGTAATTTCCACTCTTCACAATATTCATTAAAAGTGTCCAAGGCTTTCTGTAAACCTTCTGGTGATTCATCAAATAATACAGCATCATCTGCATACAATAGAATTATGAATTGGATCCATACAATTAAGTCTTTATCTTGATCATAGTTGCGATTAACTCCTCCACACCCAGATGAAAGCAAAAAGATTTCCACGTCATTTATGAAAATTGAGAATAATGGAGGGGATAGGTTTTCTCCCTGTCTGACACCTATATTACAAGGAAAGTAACCTGACATTTTATCATCACACTGTATCAACGATTTAATATTTTTATACATATTTTGAACTAACGTAAGAAATCTACCTTTGATGCCAATAGTCTGCATTTTCCTCCACAATCCCACTCGCCAAACAGTGTCAAAAGCTTTAGTAAAGTCTATGAAAGCGCAGTATAATTTTTGTTTATTATTTTTTAAAATTTGCATAAGCATATAAATTACAAATATATTGTCAGCAGTTGAGAAAGATTTCCTGAATCCTGCTTGGGCAGCTGTTAGAATATTATTTTTATCTAAGAATTTAGTTAAACGGTTGTTTAAAATTCTGGTGAATAGTTTTCCAAAGCAACTAAGGATAGTGATTGGCCTATACGAGTTAGGGTCAAGTGGGTCACCCTTTTTCTTGTAAATCGGTTTAATTATACCCACCAACCAAGATTCTGGAAGTATACCCTTTTCAAATATCAGGTTAAATAGTTCAACTAACAAAGGGGTTAATAAATCAATACTATCAATAAAATAATCATTTTCTATAAAATCAATACCGGATGCTTTATTTCTCTTTAGTTCTCTTACTGCTATCATAACTTCATCAGGTGTGATATCTCCATTTAAAGTTTCACAGTCATATTGTGTATCCATAGTACACTCCTTCATTTCCGGGTCTTCTGAAGTTGTCTCATTGAGTGACTTAAAAAACTGGTAAAAATCTTCAATTTCAGGACAAATATTGTCATCTTTTTTATCTCCTTTTAACATTTTCCAAAACTCTTTTGGGGAGTGTTTGTGTTTTTCTCTTAACATTTTACCTAAGTTATCTTTATATTGTTTTATATGCTTATCCATACATTTCTTATAAGCCTTAGATTCATATTTTAACAGGCGTTTGTTATAAATAGAATTAAATCTTTTCAAGCGGCGTTTTGCTTTATAAAAACTTTTTCTAGCATTTATACATTCCTTTCCAAACCATGGTTTGTTCATCTTATATTTCTTACCGACACCCTGCCTCCGGGTCCCGAAGGCAGCGCGTGCAGCGTCTATCAGCACGTGCCCGGCCTCTTCAGTTATGTCATTGATCAGATGTGGGTCAGCTTGGCCTTGTCTAGCCACATGTGCTTTCCGAGTGAGAATGTTTACCTTTTCAGCATTTAAATGTTGTAGAAACCTGTTAGTTCTATCTATATTATAACGTTTTGGTCTGGGATGAGTATTGTGTACTGTATTTACTTCGGACTGGATACCTACAGTTTGTTCTTGGAGTACAGTGGTGGCTAAAGAAAAGGACAATGGGCAGTGCACATCTGAATACAGGGGTGAGAAGTCTAAAATGGCTAAGTCAGTAAACAGAGGTAAGCACAAGGGGGAGGCTATAACATTGTCAACTACACTAACATCATTACATGTTATTTTACCTACATTTTTATCCTGTCCCAGTCTACCATTACAGATGAATAAGTTAAGATTTTTACATATCTCTATTATTTTATTACCTGAATTATTAACCCTTGCATTATCTTGATTAGCCCTGGACTGTGGTATATTAAGTTTATCTAACAATTTATCAGGCTCAAGTTCATTACCCATATCATTTATATCAATATCAAATTCCTTGAGTACTTGCTTATTGAATATAGTATAATCACATAGCTGTTTAGTTCTTGCATTGAAGTCACCCATCAAAATAACATACTCACTCAAAGAGAGAAAATAAAGTAAATTCTTTTCAAATTCATTGAATGTCTCACTTGTAAAGTAATTTGAATTTTCCGGAGGTATATATACTGTTCCTAAAAACAGATCTTGTTTGATACTTGTCGTAAGAGGCGACTAATGGGATCGGGTGGTCAGGCTCGCTGACATGGTTGATGCATGTCATCTTATCCCAATTGCGTGGATCGATGTTCATGATGTCAATCACTGGATTGTCTGGTCCTGACTCGATTATTTACAGTCCGCCGTCATATAGCTGGAATATTGCTGAGAGCGGCGTTAAACAAAAAACAAACAACAAACCAATACCAGTGTATAACTGCCAGTACCATAGTCACTACCATTATCACTAGTACCAATAACACTACCCCGTGAACAGCCGGGTTCAAATTCGTCATCAGCAACCCATGCTTACCGTAATAGGCGACCATACTTGTTGTAATTAAGCGGCGAGTAACGGGATCGGGTAGTCAGGCTGATGCATGTCATCGTATTCCAAAACAAACAAACAAACAAACAAACAAACACTGAAACCGCCACTACCAATACCACTGTGCGAGCCAATATAACTGGCAACACCACAGCAACCCCTAATATCATTGTAACTCCCGTTACCATAGCCACTAAATGAATGCTTGTCGCCATCTTTGCGTACTCCTGGTGGGGTTATTTTTACAAACGCCAGTCAAAGTAGTTACGGAATCGTTACCAAGCCGGGATGGCTCTGGATTTACTTACCTCTGCACCTGGTCCAGAAGTCGCCGCAGCAGTTGCCGATGTCCTCACAGTCATAATCACACTGGCAGGACTGGGCGTAGTCGTTGTTGGTGAAGCATCGGTTGGCGCAGGTTCCTGCAGTATGTTGTCATATATATAGAAGACACACATATGTACGATCTTGCCTTAATTGCTCAGATATACTATGACCCTATGGAGGATCAGGGTCAGAATAGGCCCCGAGTTCCTCTTGTGATGAAAGATCATTGAAATGAGACTCAGCCGTTCAGGCTGATTGCGAATTAGCGTGTGCGCGTGTGCATGTGCGTGTGCGTGTGCGTGTGCATGTGCGTGTGCGTGTGCGCGTACAGAACCGACCAGTCCTTGTTTTATCCCCTTTTAATGTCGAGCGCCATACGCAGTTTGGGGATCGAACAACACCCGATTTTCCGCTCTGCGGGCAGATATGGAATATGCAGACAATACCTACGTATATGTACTCAATTACTCGTGGACTGTAACTGGACTGTGTATTATAACAAAAGACTAAGGCACTTTAAACTGTTCACTGAGTCAAGCGCCAAATTAGCTTTTACACATTGATTTAAACATAACACTAATATATCCAGACGAGTTAGCAGGATCTTGTTTGGAAATAGGCCTAGGATGTAAAACTGTTAGTTACCATGTCTAAGCAGAAACTGGGCCTGAGCCCCGGCGACCAAGACGACAAAGAGTAGACACAGCTCCATGGTTGACGACGTGGCTACGAAGACCGACTCAGACACAATGCAGATTATCTTATCGTGAGAACCTGAATACTTCCAATAGACAGGACGAGTACCTCACCTGGTTGAAAATATGTGTAGGGCGCACGGCCATTGTGTAAACAATGCAGGATGGTATTTGATTGGATTAAACGAGGAAAGAGAATGAGTGTGTGAGTGAGAGACAGCGCTAACGATTGAAAGCGTGAGTTAGACTCACATCTCGTCTCTGAAATGAACATATTTTACAGAAAAAACAGTTGTTAAATCATAGTTATAAAATATAATAAAAAGGATCCCAGAGACTTTCTTCATTTTCAGATTTGATACTGCAGTAATCTAGACTTGCCAAACTTTATAGACTTGCAGTCAGTTTAGGTATTGTTTTATGAGTAATCAACAGTATCAGTAACTGTAATGTCTGGGAGATGGCAGAGTTCGCTTTACAACAGCGATAGCCTGTTCACTACACCAACATATTGGGAGGAGTGAGTGGGTGAGTGAGACAATTGAGCTTAAGGCTGCTTTGAATAGTATCCAGTTATATCGGCTGCGGATCTCAAATACGGCTCCGGAACTCCATACGGCTGCGGATCTCAATACGGCTCCGGAGCTCCGTACGGCTGCTGATCTCAATACGGCTCCGGAGCTCCTTTCGGCTGCTGATCTCAATACGGCTCCGGTACGGCTCGGATCTCAATACGGCTCCGGACCTCCGTACGGCTGCTCATCTCAATACGGCTCCGGAACTCGGTACGGCTGCGGATCTCAATACGGCTCCGGAGCTCCGTACGGCTGCTGATCTCAATACGGCTCCGGAGCTCCATACGGCTGCTGATCTCAATACGGCTCCGGAGCTCGGTACGGCTGCTAATCTCAATACGGCTCCGGAGCTCCTTTCGGCTGCTGATCTCAATACGGCTCCGGTACGGCTCGGATCTCAATACGGCTCCGGACCTCCGTACGGCTGCTGATCTCAATACGGTTCAGGATCTCGGTACGGCTGCGGATCTCAATACGGCGCCGGAACTCGATACGGCTGCGGATCTCAATACGGCTCCGGAACTCGGTACGGCTGCTGATCTCAATACGGCTCCGGACCTCCGTACGGCTGCTGATCTCAATACGGCTCCGGATCTCGGTACGGCTGCGGATCTCAATACGGCTCCGGAACTCCGTACGGCTGCTGATATCAATACGGCGCCGGACCTCCGTACGGCTGCTGATCTCAATACGGCTCCGGATCTCGGTACGGCTGCGGATCTCAATACAGCGCAGGACCTCCGTACGGCTGCGGATTCTCAATACGGCTCTGGAAGGAAAATCAACACAGACCATCTCTGTCCCATATTGCTAGTAGAATACAATGTTATTGTGTATAGGGAAATACAATGTTCATGTATCATGTGGCCCATGGTTGTATATAATATGCGTGTATCATAAAGTAAGAAAGAGACAAGCGGTACAGGTGTTACGTAACTGATATGCATGGCTTTTTCTTTATTTGTAATTGAGTAACCTCTTCCATATTGCGACATTGAACTTTAAAAGAGAAAAACAATGTGTTTATTGTCGTGAATTTCATCCCAGGTGAGCTAAAGAACTAGGATAGGTACAAATGCATATGACACATGCGGTCACATGACGTAACGTAATGTTGTTTTGTTAACGCTCTGCTATGTTACATAAGTATGAACGTACGTAATAGCGTGTCGAATTTCCGAATGCTTCATCAGAAAAAGCATTTGTAAACTTTGTTTTTAATCTACTTTCATCAAAATTGTCTACATTAAGGAACTGGAACTGACACATGTAGACTGGGGCTGACACATGTTCACTGGAGCTGAATTGCACAATTAATTCATCTAATTCGAAATGATAAAGTAATGATTGTGAACATACAAATTCTAAAAGATGCTTGGCAAGAACAGTGGCATGCTGCCAAGGTGTGTTATTAATTTTGCTAAAATATTCTTTTGATATGTTTGAGTCAGTGGACAGGCTGGATCAAGTCGAACGACTTCAGTAATGGTCTAGGGAATGTCTTTATCTCTCTGGAAGGCGCAGCTGTATATATCTGTCTTGGGAAAACTGCGTATGGTGGCATTTGCGAAAGTGCATTAAACGTAAATTTTACAATGCGTCGTTTACTTGACAATATTACTCAATACAGACTAAACAATAACTGAACATGAAATGTGTTGGGTTACTGAACATGTCATGTAATAAGTAGCTTTTGTATTTATGTTTTTACATATATGTGGGTCAGATTAATTACGGGACACTTACATTTCACAGGTATGTTGTGGGGGCGAGTTGACCCATGAAAACAGGTATGACGGAAGCATATTGTGCCGTTGTCTCCGTCGTAAGAGTAGAACTATTGTTTCCCCCACCACTGTTAGCATACTGCAACAAGTGCAACCCATGACATAGAGTGCCTAGCATGTTGGTTGCACTAGGGGATACCGTACAAATGACTGGAAATGACGGCTTGACGCGAGTTGAAGTGAAATGGCGTCGTTATGGGACGAACATGGTGGAGAACGATCGACCAACAGCGGTTGTGTGTTGCTTAATGCTCTGTGCTGATCAACATAAGTGTAGCATGGATGAGGATGTCATATGTTGAGCTATTGTACCTGATATGTCATATGTTGAGCTGTTGTACTTGACCTGTGTTGGCTACTGAGGATGTCATATGTTGAGCTGTTGTACCTGACATGTCATATGTTGAGCTGTTGTACATGACCTGTGTTGGCTACTGAGGATGTCATATGTTGAGCTGTTGTACTTGACCTGTGTTGGCTACTGAGGATGTCATATGTTGAGCTGTTGTACTTGACCTGTGTTGGCTACTGAGGATGTCATATGTTGAGCTGTTGTACCTGACATGTCATATGTTGAGCTGTTGTACATGACCTGTGTTGGCTACTGAGGATGTCATATGTTGAGCTGTTGTACTTGACCTGTGTTTGCTACTGAGGATGTCATATGTTGAGCTGTTGTACCTGACATGTCATATGTTGAGCTGTTGTACATGACCTGTGTTGGCTACTGAGGATGTCATATGTTGATCTGTTGTACTTGACCTGTGTTGGCTACTGAGGATGTCATATGTTGAGCTGTTGTACCTGACATGTCATATGTTGAGCTGTTGTACATGACATGTGTTGGCTACTGAGGATGTCATATGTTGAGCTGTTGTACATGACATGTGTTGGCTACTTGGGATGAGCTGTTGTACCCGCCATTTGTTGGCTTCTGAGGATGTCATATGTTGAGCTGTTGTACCTGACATGTCATATGTTGATCTGTTGTACTTGACATGTGTTGGCTACTGAAGATGTCATATGTTGAGCTGTTGTACCTGACATGTCATATGTTGAGCTGTTGTACTTGAAATGTGTTGGCTACTGAGGATGTCATATGTTGAGCTGTTGTACATGACATGCGTTAAGCTACTGAGGATGTCATGTGTTGAGCTGTAATATTAGAAATCGAGAGGAATCCAGGTGGGTTTTGTATTGCCTTGGGTGTTTTATGAATGATATTTGCTAACTGCTAACATACACGGGTAGTGCACGTTACTCTCTAATTAAAGTGATTGATAAATTATGTTTTACATACAATGAAACAACGACAGCTAATAAACACAATCATGCAACACGTTGTGTCATTTATTTTGGCTTCATCAAAAGCTACACGGGTCTGGCATCATCGATCAGACGCTGCTTGTAAAGGAGGGTACAGCTCCTGTAAGCTGGAGGATCGATTCGTGGCGAGCAGTGGACGCCTTGATGGTGATGTTCTGGCCGTTGATGGTCACGGCACACTGCTTGTCTGGGCGGGCAAGGCCACACACAGTGTACAGCGCCATGTCAAACTCGGGACTTGTTCCAACAAAGAACTTCTTCATCCTCGCCATGGCATCATTCCACAGGAACTGAACACTCACCATAGGAGGGTCCTAAAACGATGGAAATGATGGCTGAAGTTTATAACCACAGAGGACAAACTAATATATGACTTGAATGTAATGATTGTCCACATGAAAACTATGAACCGGTGGGGGTGGGGGTGGGGGTGGGGGTGGGGGTGGGGGTTGGGGTGGGGGGGGTATTGTGTGTGTGTGTGTGTGTGTGTGTGTGTGTGTGTGTGTGTGTGTGTGTGTGTGTGTGTGTGTGTGTGTGTGTGGACTTGGATGATGTTTGGAAGCATTTAAAAATGCTTAATATGTATTGAACAACCTGACAATACAAATGACATAGTCACCTTCGAACGACGTTGTCTCAACAACGTGTCCCCAACAAAAATTAAATTAAAATATTTCATTAAAATTTTGACATGGATAACCGTGAGACGTTTCAATATTTTGGTAAAAAACACACCTAGATCGTAGCAGATCAATAAAAGGATGAGACTTAATATTTAAAATTTAACAAACCGTTCACTATTATTAGGTGAGTTTAAACTTATACACGTCGTGAAGTTTTCCATATTAGCAAAACCTGGCCCACGGAATGGTACCGACAAACCAAGTATAAAAAAACCCCGGGATGAATGATGAATTCGAAAAATGGTCCGGGTTTGATTCCCCACATGGGTTTTATGTGTGGAGCATGTTTCTTGTGTCCCCATGCGGGATATTGCTTGAGTATTGCTAAATGCGGCGCAAAATCACGCTCACTCACTCACTCACTCACCCACCCAAACACACACCCAAACACACACACACCCACCCAAACACCCACCCACCCAAACACTCACTCACTCACTCACTCACTCACTCACCTGGAGGTAGGACAGATAGCCGTGGTAATCAACAACCTCCGCCTTCTCCAGAAGGTAGAACTGTATCCAGTTGTTCAACCCAATGATGTGATTCGAAATGTTGTGTTGCATGTTGTGCGTGTTTTTCAACTTTTCTCCGATCATGATGTGCTCAAAGCCACTACTCTTGTGCCTGTGCAGCAAGGCGGAATGCCCTCTGTACAACTCGAACCACATCTCATTGATCACAGCCCGGAATGCGTGTTGATCTGCTTTGATGAACCCTGAAGAGTAACTGTCAATTAGCATACGGGACTAAAATAGTGAGTGAATATTAATTAATGTTCTTCAACATTCAGCATAATCATTTCTGTAACCCCTGGACTGAAACGTAGATTCAGAGCTCGAGACTGTTGTGACAAACGATTTCAAGACGAAAATAATTTCTATCCGGGTATACCTCCACGTGTATATGGGTTTTAAACCTGGGGCATAAATTGATGTCAAACTCCATAAAAACGGGTCGGTGGTTTCGTGGTTCACCTCGTTTAAGTGCTCAATCAGGAAAAACGTTTTGTCAAGATGAGGACATTCTATTAGGCCTGTTTGACCTATTTCAGGTTTAGCATGTCACATCACAAATACTCTGATCACATACGATATAGCAGGTATAAAGTGCGGGTTAAGAGCAACGGCAAAATATATTTTGTTTCACTAGTAACTGTGGATGATTGAAAAATTATACTTCTTTATAAACCTCCAGTTGTTCTCTTAAATCTCATAAACAGGGATGTTATGTCATTTTATCCCGTGTTTTTTATCAAATATCCCAGGGATTTTATTAATAAAACCTCCGTTTATGTTGCAACATATGAATGTTTCTTGCAAAATAAATTTTACATTTGAACACAATTTAATGAAAATTAAAATCAAATGTTTTATTTACATTTCCATTCGGCATGAGAGGAGCTGATAAATCACAATGCTTTAAAGAATGTCTTTTTCAAGTACCGTACGCCAGCAACAGATATTTTACGCCCGTTTTCTAAGGTTCATGGAAAGCGTGTATGAAACATGAAAATGTTGATAAACGTTGTTGTAAGCTTCATTTTTCGGTTAGAAATTAGAGAAACCCTCGGGTGTTTATGAGATCAAAAACCCTCCTCATCGGGATAAAACAGAGGGGCGGACGCCCTTGGTTTCATCCCTTGGATTCGGGTTTTAAATCTCATAAAACACCTCCGACGTGTTCAGCTAACACTTAAAGCGTAGCTACAGCGGGATAAGGCTCCGATACATTGACAGTCCCAACAGGTGTGTTACAGGTGGCTCAAATCCCACCTACTGTGACTGCTAATTCAAATGTCATGATAGTTATAAATCGAACAATTAATGAATATCAAAATGACAGCGAGACAACGTCCCAGTTTCACTCGAAGCACTGATAACGTCTACATCTATACTACAAATGGGACCTCTGTCATTTGTAACAAAATAACTGTCACATATAAAATACCTATAAAAATAAGAAGTTACAAAACCTGCAACGACCTACCGTTATCGAGGAGGAACTTTGAGGCGAGCTGCATGACCCTTGTTTGGGACGCCACGGCCCAGAAAGCGTCCTCCTCTTGAATCTCTACCAGGGGACGGTGTTCGGACTGCTGTACGTTCAGTTCGTAGTTGTCAAGTAGTTGGATAAACAGCGCATATGTAGAATTGGCCATGGATAGCAGGGCGTCCAGTTGGCCATCGACAGGCTTAAACAGTCTGTCCAAAGCATAACCTCATAATCCGTATATGTGTTGGGTGGCGATACCAAATTCTTCAAAACTTGATGTGGAAACTGACCTCACTCAAACACATGTGCTAGTTTTGATTTGGATAATAAGATATTTTCACTTTTATGCTCAACTGAATTAAAAAAAATCACAATCATAACTTCAATAGTTTTAGCACCTATATTGATAAAAAAAATGAACAATAATTTTATTATAGAACAACAAGCCATTACTTGATTTGTCCTGATTTAAATGTGTTAACGATACATAACTGTGAACTTCTTGCATTGTAATCGTCTCTATGGAGATAAGAAGTAATAATAGACTGAAACCAAAGGAAACCTACTTGTCCGTTGCCATGTCGGTTTCTTCATTTTGAGTTGTCTGCCCTTGGTAGCTGAGTGTGTAGAGGGAGCTGTTTATCCTGTTGACATCGTTATCCCACAACTGCTGGGCGAATGTGTTCAGTTCAGCTTGGGTGACCACCAACCCATACTCAGACCCTGGTAAAGATTTATACTTAATTCAAAGGACACATTTAATTGTGTGACACCTGTGAGGTAACATTAATTAACACTGAAAAATAAATACACGAACGATTTTGTTATCCCCATTGGGATTGGCAGATCATAATGCTTTAAGCTTCCCTGGTGGCATCAGGAAATTTGTTTATTTTACTCATCTGAGGCGCAAGGTTACTTCCCCGATGTTATACTTTCCGTCCTTATCAGACAGCCACACTTTCTTTATAAAGGTGGAAAAATAAATACTATTAGTATAAACTGGCGGACAATAGAAACTTTACCATAGTTCTAAATCACTTCAGTTTATTAACCACAGAAGATAGATGCATAAAGTAAAATGTATTGAAAAGATCAAAATCTCAACGAAATCATCATTGAAAATGCATCATCCGATATTGGCATGGTAGTTGCCCGCATTGAGGTGGGGTAGAAACAAACAAGCTTTTAACGTAAGGGACACACAACGTAAGGTACACAGGGCACCAACATCTAAAATCAATGATACTTCACATTAATAGCGCGTATGACCTCCCCCCCCCCCCCCCCCCCCCCCCACACACACACACACACACACACACCGCTACAAACTCTCAGGCGTACAGAAAGAGTCATTCGTGGGATACGTCGCCATTCTTCTTGGAGGGGGGCTGCCCAAGCGGCAAGTATTTTAATTGTTTCGCTTTTTCTACCAAAAAAAGATGCCGTAGACGTGTATCACTTTCTGCATTGATCATTGCTATTTTTGGACGATGTGTTTTGCATTGATTTAGTTTGAACTTGTTTTTTTAAATTTGTGCAATTTCATTTTTAAAGTGTTAAAGTTTCTTTTGGCCGTCCGTTTATATATGTAGGAGTATATAGACCTAACAAAACATGAATTGTAGTGAAGGAGCTTCTTCTACGGCACTGTTTCGAATCAGTTGTAAACAGACATGTCATTGTCAGATAGATTCTCCAAGAGCTTCAGTTGTACACAAGAGTGCTCACCTTTTACAGTCTCAGAAAGCACTAATCAGCTGTAACCTGACATGTCATTGTGAGATAAATGACCCAAGATGTTCAGTTGCAGAGACGCCTACTCCCCTTCTACAGTCTCAGAAAGCACCAATCAGCTGTAACCTGACATGTCATTGTCAGATAAATGACCAACTATGTTCAGTTGCATTCAAGCGTTTCATCCTTCTACAGTCTCAGAAAGCCCCAATCAGCTGTAACCTGACATGTCATTGTCAGATAAATGTCCACCTATGTTCAGTTGCATTCAAGCGTTTGCATTTAAGCGTTTATGTTCTCGGAAAGCACCAATCAGCTGTAAACCGACATGTCATTGTCAGATAGATGCTCCAAGAGCTTCAGTTGCACACAAGCCTACTCCCTTCTACAGTCTCAGACAGCACGATTCAGAGGTAAACTTGCATGTCAGCCAATCACAAGGTTACTTCTATGTACAAAGTACCTACCTCTGCACAGCCTCCAGAAGTCGCCGCAGCAGTTGTTGAAGGACTCGCAGTCAGAGTCGCACTGGCACGGCTTATTGTAGTCGTTCGGGGTAAAACAACGGTTCTTACAGGATCCTAGCCAAGTACATGTTACACAGGTTAATACCCAACGATCTAATTGCATTGGCACACTTAATCACTCCTTAATTCATACCATACGTTCTCCCATATTCCCTGGAAACGTCAAAGCCATTTGCTAAATATGGAGCCAATCACTTTGCAGGCGCTATTATGGACGCGCTCATAACTTCTTACATATACCATAGCGAGTCCTTTCATTGGTTACAGCTGTGACGTCTTGTAGAGTATATAGTGACATGCATATTCGCATGTAGAATCCACCGACGGTGTACGGTGGGTTTAAAGACGCTTAGAACAGTATTTCAGTTCAATCACCGCGTATCAGCTTGATGTGGGAGGAGAGCCCAAACTGATGCAGTTCTCATACCTTTACCACTTTGGTGAAACCCACCAACTCAGGTATGGTGCTGAAATTCCTAAAAACATAATCGGGGCGAATTTTAGATTCTAAACCATGATTGTCGGCCCTTGGCATTCCAAAGAGATGCAACCAAAATGACCTGAGGTTTGACATAAATGGGCCACCCCCTTGGCACATTATATTAAACATAAAATTGTCAATACAAGAGAATAACCAGCCTAGATTTTCTGCCGAAACAGATTCCACTTGGTGTAAAGGGCAAATAGCTGTGGAAATTATAAATACAATTCGAACCCAATAATCGCGCTGTGCTCAACACTACCGTAATTCTGCAGAAACAGTGACTCGACGGCTGCGACGAGGAACAGCAAGAAACACCACTTCATGTCTCTGGTATCTTATCGAATGACGTGAAGAAAATACCCTTATCTGCGACCTATGTACATGTAGATTATATTGTCGATGTCAGGCATGTTATGTTCTCATGGCAATCATTAAACTACACAATAAATCCAGATTAGAAATGTTTAATCCGGATAAAGCAGTAACTGTTGTTATAATGTACTTCTGAGCAAGACGAAGGACAGCGACACGAATGTAATGGCTTAGTAGTTTGTAGATACATTGCTAACGTTCTGCCTACTTTGACGAAGAAGCGTGTGTGCGTGCGTGCGTGCGTGCGTGCGTGCGTGCTCGTGCTCGTGTGTGTGTTTGTGTGTGTATATGTGTGTGTGTTTGGGGGGGGGGGGGGGGGGGGGGTTGGTAAGGATGGGGGGGGGGGGGGGTGTTGATGTGATGGGGGGTTTGGTGATAGAGGTCTACATAGACTTTGTTTACCTATCTTGGAGGTCACATCAAATTAAACAATATTTAAGACATGTCTCATCAATGCAGCAAACCGAGAAATATAGCTTGCAAGATGCCCATGGGACAAAAAGATAACAAATGTGGGCCCACTAAACAACCCTAAGAAACTTGGGGATTTACAAATGTTGCCCTACTTCTTCGATTATCATATATGACGGACAGAAGTGGGTCACACTTTACAAAATGATAATAGGCACTAAACCAACCCACGGAAATGTGCATATAACTCGTCATACTACAACTAATGTCTTTCTGAAATGTGGGCGAACCTGCAGCCATCTCTATTCATAAGAATAAAGCATTCCCAATGATGACATTCGCAAGGACAAATCTATTGTCACTTCACAAACATTTTGTTTGTAGTTGACTCAGCATGAATAAATTAAATGTAGTCCGAAGTGAATTAAGGACTCCCTTACAGCGTTGTATGTGAGCACATTGCAACACGACGTCAGTTTTGCAATGGGTAATCAAATCTACGGGACACGGCGCGGACTACAGTTATGCTTCATATGATTCCAGAATGGGAAACAGCTATGAGGCAATCACATCATTGGTTTTATTCGTAATATTCGTACAGAGTATATTTTGATCATATCAAAAATATTGTAAAATCTTCTAGCAAACACATTCAATAAAATAATATTCAACTTCGTACAAACATGTTCTGTAGTACTAAACTTCCGGGTAAAGAAACTATACACTTGTAGACTTGATTTGACCAACAAATAGGCAGAAAATAGTGAGTGAGTGAGTGAGTTGGGTTTAACGCCGCTTTTAACAGTATTCCAGTTATATCGCGGCGTGTCAGCTTAATGTGGGAGGAAAGCCCGAAGTGATGCAGGTCTCAGACGTTTACCACTTCGGTGAAACCCACGAGCACGGGTATGGTGCTGACAAACCTAGAAACATAATCGGGGCGAACCGGGATTCGAACCCACAATCATAGGTTTCTGGCGTGCCCAAGGTACGCAACTCTGCACAGCGAATCGCGGCGCCTTAGACGACTGGGCCACCCGTGCCCCCGGCAGAAAATAGTCACCGAAACACGGCAAACCTGAGGCCCAAAGCAAAACTATGGTACCCATCTCAAATACATCACCATCGAATAACGATTTCTTGTTTTATTATTAGCCACCATCAAACATGGGTGTATACGTTCTTTAGACCGGCAGTTTCGTAATTCTGACCAGCAGTTTCTACATGTTGACATGGATGTATTGAATTTCAAAAATACAATAAAACGCAGCAAGGAAGAACTCTTTCGCATATTTCAATCACGTCTCCTAACGTATATAGATATTTGAATATAACAATGGCTGTCAAGGTCATCTGTACATGTATAAAGAATGTGACTTTTTTTTAAAGATTATCAAATGACGTCATACCAATGTATGCTTAAGAACAATTCGAAATGACGTTACGCATTGTACATGACGTCAGGAATGGATAAAGTTACGTCATCTGAACAATTAGTTGACTTATACACTGTATACGAGTACTAACATTAACACATAGAAAATGACAGGTAATTAATAATGAAGAAAGGTAGAAAATAAATATTTCTTCTTTTGTTGTTCTTCCAAAAACGTATATATCTATGTCACGAATATATGTTTTGTCACACGCGTCATTTATTAGTTTTCTAGGCACTTTAGGCAACGACGTACAGGAAGCTAAGTGACCATGCCCTCTCATAAAATTAGAAAATTGTGAAAAGTGAAAAGTAGTTCACTAATACATCAAAACGAACGTAAGGAATATTGTGGAAAATACCCTATTATCAGTTTCATAGACATCAAGCAATGACAAAAAGGAAAAATAGAAAATACATTTGGTGGTTAAATACCTTGGGTCACGCCGATCATAGACCTAAGTCAATATCAATTCTTCAATTGAGGTTTATAATATGGTCGTGTGATCTTTTACATTTTCAAATATATTTGCAATGCCATCAAATCTAATGTATAGCGAGTTTGGTTTAACACCGCTTTGAACAGTATTCCAGTTATATCGCGGCGTGTCAGCTTAATGTGGGAGGAAAGCCCGAAGTGATGCAGGTTTACCACTTCGGTGAACCCACGAGCACGGGTATGGTGCTGACAAACCTAGAAACATAATCGGGGCGAACCGGGATTCGAACCCACAATCATTGGTTTCTGGCGTGTCCGAGGGACGCAACTCTGCACAGCGAATCGCGGCGCCTTAGACGACTGGGCCACCCGTGCCCCCAAATCTAATGTATAAGAGTTATAAAAGGGAGTTTGTAACACGAGATGAGTGACTAGTTTACCGCACATGATTAGTAAGATATGGATAAACAGGAGTAATTAAACACTGAGACAGGAGGCAGGTGAAAGGAGGCCTGGCAAACACGTGCGTGACCAAATATATGTGACTTGTTTTTTCCCCATGACAAACTGGGCTGTTTTAAATAGGCAACTTTCGCGATACCTTGGTGATAACATGTTATAATTCTGTTGTATATATCGATACAAAGGCACATTTTGTTCAATTTAAGATAACAGAGTTCCCTTCGTGATAACAGTGTAGATTAACAAATCGCCCGACTGTACATATAAGTATTACACAAACTGCTCATATCTGCTCAGCAGTCTTTAAACAGTATCTCATTTTTATTACGACGTGGGCCTTTAATACTGAAGGGGAGCTAAACATAGCGGTTTTAACGCTATCACAGACCAACGAAGGAACATAATATACTACTCAAATAAAGTTAAAGAATACCGGATTTAGTTTTATGACTGTGGTTAATTTGTCATGTCCATGGTAAATTAATTAATTCATATGAAATCTTAATCTTCTTCTTTTGAGTAGTAGGGGCGGTCGGGTAGCCTCGAGGTTAAAGCGTTCGCTCGTCACGCCGAGGACCCGGGTTCGATCCCGACATGGGTACAATGTGTGAAGCCCATATCTGGTGTCCCCCGCCGTGATATTGCTGGAATATTGCTAAAAGCGGCGTAAAACCATACTCGCTCATTCACTCTTTTGAGTAGTATCTATTAACCTAACGGTCAAAGCATTCGTTTATCACGTCGAATTCTTCCGTCGCCACTTTGGTGAAATGTGTCACGCCTATTGTTGTGATATGTCACTGACTGACTGTGACTCTCTCAGCGATCATTGGATTGCATGTATCGATTAAGCATACAAACAGTTATACTGCCTCGAACCTTTGAGACAATACCTCTAGCGCTGTACATAAACCCAACTTTCTCTCCCCCTCTCCAAAATCATATTTTGAATCACATGACTAATTTGAAATCTATCCAAGTAATGGGACTAGTATGTAACACGTACGTAATTCTCTGCGACTATCATAACATGAATACATGAATAGCCAAATATAAACTCATCCAATAAAAATATAAGCAATGAACTCTGCCTATTTTGGTAAATTATCAAACATTTAAATATATTGCAGCTATATTATTACACGCCGTCAAGTCCAGATTAAAATATATCTCTTGAAGATTCATATCTACACAATATGAAGTTGTCAAGATTCCGGCCTTTCATATATACTACTTAAAAGAAGATAAAGAACACCCGGTGTTTTCATATGACTATAGTTATTCTGTCATGGCTGGTTGGTATTGCAACAGAACCTTCCAATTGTGGGTGTTCTTTAACTTGTTTTAAGTGGTATATTTCACGTCGACAGGCCGACATCACACGAGAAATGGATAATTTGGAGGATCACTGATAATTATAGTCTATACTTTAAGAATTATATATACTAGGTTCCGTCATCCATCACCCGTGAAGCATTGACGATTGGTAAAAACTATTGTGAAAACTAATATCACTTGTAACATGCACAATATATGAGACAACTGTAAAACAACTCATGTCAAAACACATGACATACTTAAGTCCAAGATCTATAAAATATATATCGTCATCACCGGAGAACAATCACCTCATTGCAACATCGTATCCATTATATGTTGATGGAAACATGAAGATTATGTACTTGAGCTCGTCTTTCCTTTAACCCTTTATCCCAGTCAGTATGTGGTGTATCACAAGAGAAGAGAAGAACCAGTCCCGCCCATCCCCGGAAAAAAGATTCCATTGGGCGTATAAGGCAACATAGCGGTGAAAATTATATGAATGGATCACTGAAAAATTCATTAGATGTTTTCGAAAAGCACGTCTTGGTTATTCACTAACCTCTGTTAAAAAAAACAAACAGCACGATGCCTTAAACGGGATGCCGGGAATCAGAGCAACTTACAGTACACCCCCGAACAAAGAACAACTTACAGTACACTCCCGAACTAAGAAGTGTCACTTGTAACGTCCCAGTCAATCAATCTTCTCATCTCTTTCCATTTTTCATTAACCCGAGGATTGCAAAACTCGGAGATCTGGGAAACACTGGTTTCTCTGCGTGTGTTTCAGTGCTTGATTGAGTTCCTGGCCCGATGACCACACACCTTGGCCAATGAATCATCTCTGATCCCCAGCGTCATGGCTGTTAACACATACTCCATTAAACGACTTTCGGTCTTTCAGGTCACGAGTTCCGACTCCACGGGGATCTTTGGAACAGTTTCACGCTGGTGTTGTATTCCTACATTATTGATGTACTCTGCCACCAAATTCGATGCGTCTAACCTCCCTATATCGTTCAGCACCTGCTGCAGGTATACCACACACGCTCCTTTCTGTTCCATGTGTTGGAGAAGAGCCAGTGTTTGACTTGACCTTATTGACTCAAGAAACGTGATGACCTTATCAAGGGACAGCTTGGATGCTAGAGCTCTCCAATCATTGCCTAATGGAGCGCGTGGATCAAGAAGTATCATTAAGTCCCGCTTTAGGTCATCAGGGAAAAAGATGTTCCTCTTACTCATAGATGCCTGTACATCGTCCAAACTGAACTTGGGTTCCTGATTGTCAATTCTGACATCAACGGAAGTTCCATTGTTATTTTGCCTACTCACCTGTACCATCGATGATCCCGGACTGCATGGGTTGGATCCAGGGATCCGTATCGTGACGTTTCGAAGACCAGGTTCCGGTAATCCATTATGAATTTCATTCATATGGATGATTAACCTCTCGCTTTCGTTTTCACTCCCGTCCTGGTACGCGAGCAAGTGGATGTTGATCTCATCGGTTCTCACGTTGTAATCGCCAATTCTTTTGAAACACATGGATAGATGAGGGCACTTCCCGTGCCAAATATTCATGAATGGAACCCTCTGGGTCTCACATCCATCAATGCATGCCCACCTTTCAGATAAGTAGGCAATCGATAGTAACATATCCTCAGCTTTACCATTGTATAGGAACACTTTTTCGGGACAACATTTCTTACTACCAAACTGAGCCTCATTATTAATTGCCCACTCCAACGCACATGGTGTTTTGTTAAGAAAGTAGACCCTGATTTGGTAGTGATCAACGTCTGGCTGCAATGGGGTTGTGAACACGGCTATCTGGATCCATTTCTTGCCAGGGGATGAATCGGGACGGCACTGTATGCTGGTCAGCAGACTGAAATGTTCCAGTTTCACCTGACATTCTTCTTGGGAGACGACACATTTGCCCACCTCTTCCTTCGCCTCACACAACACGTCCCATTCCTTCTGATGTGTCAGCTCAGTCTCACTCACCATAATTTTGATACTCGCCGGATCATACGCACAGTGCCTGAAGGATAGGATGCATTGTTCATTTAGTTTTAGCCCATGGGGTCCGCAGTACACGACAGGGCTAACCAGAGCTTGATGCGGGTCCATCCCAGGACTGTCCTCTAAGTCCCAGCTCAGGACTAACGTGACCACCTGCTTCTTTCCTCTAGAGATGGCACCTGGAGGAATACGTAGGGATATGCCCATATTGTCGAGAATAAGAAGATCCCCTCGGTGATCAACCAAATGGGCTACCATAACAACCAGTTTATTAGCCACAGTTTTCATGACGCTTCTTTCAGTGACAATAAACAAATCTTGTATCCCAGCGTCAAACAGTTGCGGGTTTTCAATATGAAGAGAATCGTGATCTGTGTTATGTTCACTCACTGGATATCCACTGTCATATCTTACCTCCTCATGGTCTTCGACACTATGTCTAACACCAGCACCAACAATTGTGTCAGAAATTCCGGGAGGAAGGTCACGTCTAGTTTGAAGGTGACGCGCATAGTCCCCAGATCCGTTACCCAGAGCAAAGGGGTGAATTCGTTGAACACGCCCATAAAATCCAGTCTGGTCATTAACTGAGGCGATCCCGGGGGGATATTCTCTTGGGGAGGGCAGATTGTAAGGGTCATATACAGCCGGGACAGGTGTTGGTGTGTTGAAACGTTTCTTACAGCATCGCCTGATCCACCAGATCAAGAAGGCTACAACAATGACAGCCAATGCTGTGATGCAAATCGCCATGACGAGGAACTTTTTTTCATCCTTCATTTCGTCTGTTGCGTCGAACTTCCTTCCTGGGTCTTGTTTCAATTCTTCTTTGCTCTGGTCTGGGTCTCCTTGCTCCAGCAGGGCTTTTTATTATATCTACTGATCTGTATGCGACACACGGGTCACTGAAAGAAGCTTCTAGTTATTTAGTGAAATCTGGTTTTGATACTTTCTCGCGTGCTTGCTCTGTAAAGTCCATCTTGAACCTTCGTTGGTTCGCTAACGACTACCTGCAAAATGAAAGAATCAGAGCTACAACAAGGTTTGAAATGGCCTAGAAATCTAGGTAGGTATCAATAAAGGTAGGTGTCAACCCCACGTTAACCACACGTGTGCATAGTATTTTATCGGATGCTCTAAACATTAGTTTTGACACGTACATACATACCGCCAATCATAGGTTTCTGGTGTGCCAAAAGGACGCCACTCTGCACAGCAAATTGCCGCGCCTAAGACGGCTGCTCTCCACGTCTACCACCCGTCTACCACCCGTCTACCACCCGTCTACCAAGTCATGCATCCACCCATCCATCCATAAACCCTTGTACATCAAAACAATCCAAGTCTAGTCAAAGAAGTTAATTGAACAAAAGGCCCCCCGGTCATGTAAAATAGAGTTACCCACGTAAATACAATCATAAAAGGTACACATTTGGATATACAAGTTCTTTGGGTGAATATATATAGGGAGAAAGATGTAATATGTTAGGTGCGTTTTTTGATCGTCAGTATAATAGAAAAGCGTTTATCAGTGACATTGATTTGAAATAATCTTTGATATAGATCATTGTAAAATGGACAGACAAACATAAAATTAATTTCATTTTCTACTTCTATATTACATAATGGACATATTCGTTTCGATTTTTCAGTGGACAGTTTTCTTCTATCAGTTTACACTGTAGTTTATGTAGAAAATGTGTTGTATCTGGGGATCAATTCTTAAGGGTTTAACGAAAATATTAGGTGACACGGTATTGATTTTAGAATAGTAACAATTTCCCTCGTAAACCAGCTTTTCGTTGAGATATTGAAGCCTTAACGATATCTACAAATGATACATACAATTTAAGCATAGGTCGTGACAAAGTTTAAGTGCATAAAGTGTAAATATATGATCTGAGGAAGAATAACTTTTTCTGAAACCAGCCTGAAATTCAGGAATCGTTCGCCCATTTATAAATTCTATTGTTTAATATTGTAGTAAATAATTCCTAATATGTTCATTAATGAAATACCTCTGTATTTGTCTGGATTACTCCTGTCCCCTTTTATATGCAGTGGAATTATTATAGAGCATGACCAAATGCTAGGGAAAACCCCATTTTCAAATAACCCAAAAACATTTGCATGCGAAAGGCGTAACTACATATTAAGAACACTTCAACATTTCGATAACTACATCATCGGGGCCAGTTGCTTTTCCACCTTTGATGTGATTTGTCCCATTTTTAATTCATTTTCAACAATGGGCGAATCTAGCATAACTTCATCAACATCCGTGTAGGATTCACGAAAATAATTTTGCATATCATAAGTTTGCATCACTTTTCTATCCATCTATCCATCTTTCCTTATCTCTGCCCATCCGTCTCATTCCATCAACCTAGCTTACCTCCATCCATCCGTCTGTCAACACCTCCTCTAATCTTCTATCTATCCTTACTCCATCCATCTATCTATCCTTACTCCATCCATCTATCTATCCTTACTCTATCCATCAATCTATCCTTACTCCATCCATCTATCTATCCTTACTCCATCCACCTATCTATCCTTACTCCACCCATCTATCCATCCTTACTCCATCCATCTATCTATCCTTACTCCATCCATCTATCTATCCTTCATCATCTATATATCCTTACTCATCCATCTATCTGTCCTTACTCCATCATCTATCTATCCTTACTCCATCCATCTATCTATCCTTACTCCATCCATATATCTATCCTTACTCATCCATCTATCTATCCTTACTCCATCATCTATCTAAGCTTACTCCATCCATATATCTATCCTTACTCCATCCATCTATCTATCCTTACTCCATCCATCTATCTATCCTTACTCCATCATCTATCCTTACTCATCCATCTATCTGTCCTTACTCATCCATCTATCTATCCTTACTCCATCCATCTATCTATCCTTACTCTATCCATTAATCTATCCTTACTCATCCATCTATCTATCCTTACTCCATCCATCAATCTATCCTTGCTCCATCCATCAATCTATCCTTACTCCATCCATCTATCTATCCTTACTCTATCCATCTATCTATCCTTACTCCATCCATCTATCTATCCTTACTCCATCCATCAATCTATCCTTACTCCATCCATCTATCTATCCTTACTCCATCCATCTATCTATCCTTACTCCATCCATCAATCTATCCTTACTCCATCCATCTATCTATCCTTACTCCATCCATCTGTCTATCCTTACTCCATCCATCTATCTATCCTTACTCCATGTCAACACCTTCCCCTTCCACCTATCCATTTATACTCAGCTCCAACTATCCGTGATGGTCTGTCAACACCAATCCACTTACACAAATATCCTTACCCCCATCCTATTCCATCACGCACACCGTTCTATCCATACCTCAACCCATTAGCCTGCCAACACCTCCCCACATTCACCTATCGCTATCTCCATTCATCAGCCTGCCAACACCTCCCCACATTCACATATCGCTATCTCCCTTCATCAGCCTGCCAACACCTCCCCACATTCACCTATCGCTATCTCCCTTCATCAGCCTGCCAACACCTCCTCACATTCACCTATCGCTATCTCCCTTCATCAGCCTGCCAACACCTCCTCACATTCACCTATCGCTAACTCCCTTCATTAGCCTGCTAACACCTCCCCACATTCACCTATCGCTATCTCAATTCATTAGCCTGCTAACACCTCCTCACATTCACCTATCGCTATCTCCCTTCATCAGCCTTGCAACACCTCCCCACATTCACCTATCGCTATCTCCCTTTGTCAGCCTGCCAACACCTCCTCACATTCACCTATCGCTATCTCCCTTCATCAGCCTGCCAACACCTCCCCACATTCACCTATCGCTATCTCCCTTCATTAGCCTGCCAACACCTCCTCACATTCACCTATCGCTATCTCCCTTCATTAGCCTGCCAACACCTCCCCGCTTTCACCTATCGCTATCTCCCTTCATTAGCCTGCCAACACCTCCCCACATTCACCTATCGCTATCTCCCTTTGTCAGCCTGCCAACACCTCCTCACATTCACCTATCGCTATCTCCCTTCATTAGCCTGCCAACACCTCCCCGCTTTCACCTATCGCTATCTCCCTTCATTAGCCTGCCAACACCTCCCCATATTCACCTATCGCTATCTCCATTCATCAGCCTGCCAACACCTCCCCATATTCACCTATCAATCTATCCTTACCTCATAGGTCTTCATCAACCCATGCTTGTCGTACAAGGCGACTATGCTTGTCGTAAAAGGCGACTAGCGGGATCGGGTGGTCAGGCTCGCTGACCTGGTTGTTTCATGTCATCGATCCTAATTGCATGGATCGATGCTCATGATATCAATGACAGGATTGTCTGGTCCAGACTCGTCCACAGCTCAATTCATCAACAATTCCACCAACCAATCCATCTATTACTATCCTGATCCACACCACCACATCCATATATCCACACCTTATTCCATATAACAACGCATCCATCCATCCACCCATCCATCCATCCTTCTATTATCCTCCATCGACCTATCCATCAAATCCGCCACTCGTAACAGAATTCTGTACAGATGTACGACACATTAAATTCCCCCACTCCTACTCAGATCTACCTACCGGTTGTCACGACTTCCTGGTCCGCACTTCCCACAGTACTATTAATCAGGCTAGGTATCCACACTCCTCTAGCATAAAAGGTCCTTGCCCTTGATACATTGAATGAGTACATGAGTGTTTTTCTATCAACAAGTCATTATCCACCAAGCTCCATTTATCCCCACAAATATCATGCATTCATGACAGAATGTCATAAAGCCTTGTCAGCCATCAAGTCACCTTTGTTAAGGTACGCTACTTCGTATATTATACCATGCAAGGGTTCATCTACTGAGCTATGCACACATAACTAACATACGTTTGACTTTTATCGTGATCGGATGTGCTTTATTTAGTACATGGTTTGTGAGTCAGCTATTTCAGAACGTCAAGTTTATATAGTGTCCACAAATGAAGTGGAAATCCCAACATCTAAAAATAGACGCCTTTCACAGAAAGGCGAACAATGCTAAACTGTGTCGACGTATTTGATTGGGTAATGAATTCATCCAATCGTTGTGGCGCTTGGTCGGAATTGATACCTTTAGAATGTTTTACCTGTTTCGTTGACATCCTGTTACTGACCTGCGCAAAACCTATTCGGGTCTATTCATTCTCCTCGAAGAGCCAGATATTTGTGAGGCCGTATCAGCTTACATAACTACATGGCGACCATGAATACCACCGTTACAACAACAAGAAACTAGACCAATAAAGCGGCATTTGCACCGGTTTGTTAGGTGTGTTGGCGTGGTATATTATAATATGGCTTGGTGATGTTGGTGTATGTTGTTTATGCAACGAGTACATTGTGTCGGTTGTGGTACAATATGGTGTGAGGGGCGGTCGGGTAGCCTAGTGGTTAAAGCGTTCGCTCGTCACGCCGAAGACCCAGGTTCGATTCCCGACATGGGTACAATGTGTGAAGCCCATTTCTGGTGTCCCCCGCCGTGATATTGCTAGAATATTGCTACAAGCGGCGTAAAACCATACTCACTCACTACAATATGGTGTGTGTGTTCTGTGTTGTGTGTATTGAGTATATATCAGAAGAGTAAACTCTGTATGTAGTGATATAATACGGTGCGGTGCTGTGTGTGTTCATATATATTAGAATGAGTTTTTTCTGGAGGTTGTATAAATATGGTAAGGAGTTGGAATGAGTTGTGGCATGATACGCTGTGTGTTTTGGGTATACATGTGTATGTCGAAATGAGTGTATTCTGTATGCTGGGTTATAATATGGCGTGTTGTCTGTAGTGAGTATATTCTGTTGATAGTGGTATAATGCGGTGCGGTGTTGTGTGTATTAGATATATATTAGAAAGAAGTACTCATATTCGAGCGATATTAAATTGGTTCGATGTACAAACGAACAAACGGGTATATTGTGATA